AACACTATAATGTGGCCACCTTGGCATTCAGTTTGTTTCAACTTCAATCCTGTGTGCAGTAAAAATGCTAATATTAGATTAAAACTCTAACAGTGCATTCAACATTTATGTGGGTAATTATTGCCCTCATGTAAACATACTGTGTCTGTTAAGCTAAAGGTAACCACAATTGACCCACCAAGGACCCACAGGCAGATATGCTCCCTTGGAATACCAGAATCATGTTAATGCACTTTTATGTGACATCATTTGACAACACTCAGTGTTACTTCTTCCTATGCTGGACTCATCAAAGCTCCATTCTGCAGCTCCATTCACCACAAAACAGTCGAGAGAAGACTGAGCTGAAGGGGTAATGCAGAAAGAAAAACACGTAGACCAAGCTGCCTCCAGCTTGACTTAGAAATGACTTGGATTGGATTAAAATTGATGCAAGATCTTACTGGGATCCGAAAGGTTGCATCATGCTGTCATTCTTGTGCAAATAAATACTTGAAGCCTTGTAATGGAGGGAAACAGATAGGATGAATTTCAGGGGCAACATGCGAAGAGCTGGTGGGTGCAGAAGTGGGGAGGAGTAATGATGAGGTGGGTGTGGGTGGATTGAAGCTGTGAGGTGGAAACTGGTGCTATTTAGTGCACAGCGAGGGAGGGGATCAGCTATTATCTCAGACACGACACATACCCTATCATTATGTATTTGTTCTCATAAGCGTCTCTCATGTAAATCCCCCTCACTGCATTTCTTTTCTTCATTTTCCTCCAAAAGCTGCATCTATTTCTCCTTTTTAGCTTCATTTTATTTTCTTTGCATCATTTCTTCTGTGTCATCTGACCTAGACCGGTTTGTCTCTTGGGCTTCTTTGTTTCACCCTGCTCTATTACAGCAGGACCTTTCCCTGTTTGTAACTTTTCATTTCCTCTCTTTCTTTGTGTCTGAGGCAGCTGACAGGCTGTGCAGGGCTGCATGGACCAGATGCAGCTGAGCATGGCAAAACTGCAGTAGGATTGCAGCGTCACTGCAAACGTCAGAACAGAGCTCTGAATTGAATTGAATTGAAATGTTTCAGTGTGTTTTGGGGTGATTACGTAAAAGTAGAAGGGATGTGGGGGCTCACAGGTAGAGGGGAGCATTTGATGAGACTGAATGTAACATTTAGTTATTTTTAATAAACATTTGTTTGAATTTCTGCAGTTAAACTGATGATTATGCACGCTGAGCCATAGGATGAGTTACTTTTATTGTACAGAAATCCTTCCCCACTGGTGTGACTTAAACACTTCAATCTCTTTTTCTGCAGAGTTGGCAGGAGAGGGAGGCATGATCAAGCAGACACATTGTGGTACAAATATGATTACATGCCGTTCAACTTAAAGGAGCTACTAGAGCAGAGAGGAAACTGGAAATGAGAAAAGAAATTAGACGATGGAAGGCTACGATGGACGGGAAAAGGTGAAAAGATGAAGGAAACAAGTACAGAGGGGTAGCCATGGGGTGCCCCAGGTATTCTGTTGTATGATGACTATAAATAAAGCAGGGAATGTGTCTTGTGGGATGCTGTAACAGTTTTCAGCAGAGTGATGTAGAGCATTAAAGCATGAAATCAAAAAACAGGTCATGATGCAACTCAGCAGCTCTAGTCATCTCAGTGGGGGTCCTTTTGTACATGAGAGGGTAGAAAACGTTCCACAACAGCACTTCCCCCCTGAGTCTGTCTCATACACACTCTGGTGATTATTACCCAATATTATTGCTCTTTTGACATCTCTCTCTCTCTCTCTCTCTCTCTCTCTCTCTCTCTCTCTCTCTCTCTCTCTCTCTCTCTCTCTCTCTCTCTCGCACGCACGCACGCACGCACACATGCACACACACACACACACACACACACACACACACTCATTTTGCTGATTTGTAACATTTGATTCACCTTAACCTATTTTACCTCCTGTTTCCTGGCTCTTTAGTCAATCAGCAACCTGAATATTCATCAATCTTTGAAAAGTGTGTTTTGACACAATGTTGTGGGGTAAAGCCTTCCCTTGTGCCTTAGAAGTCCCCGCCTGATGCAATCACCCTCTGATGGGTCTATGTGGGTCTTGCTTTACTGAACTTAAACAAATCTTGCTGTGAAGTCAGAGATTAGGAGGATCAGCCTTTAAACTCCAGATGAAAAAATTTGTCGTCCCTGTGCTGTTCAGGATATTTCATCATTTAAAATATTAGTGGCTGTGGTGATGATGGAAAGAATTACAGAATAAAAAACTGTCTGGTGGTCAGAATCAGCCGGTTATTAGCTTGTTGGGATTAGCAGGCAAAAAAATGATTAAACTCAAAAAGTTGTTTGTGCACATACCACAGCTATAATTACAAATATAAGATTTTCTGTGACAGATCTTCCAGAAACTTCCAACATTAAAATAGTCAAGCTAATCAAAAATAACAAAAAGATAAACAAGTTCATACATTCTCTGTTATTTATCATTCTTTCAGAGAAACTGGAATTGTTTGTCTTGTGAGATTAGAGCAGAATTAGGATTCTGCTTCGACCCACAAAAACAAACAGGGTTTAATCTTACTGAATTAAAAACAATAGTCAAATCAATTAACAGCTTTAACATCAAGAGCAAATGCTAATTCATTTATTTTATTGGCTAAAACAGCTTATAGTGATGGCTTTTGGCTTGAAAAAGGAAAGAGGCTGTGTTGTGAAAGTCAGAAAAGAAAAATCTCTCACATGAAATGCTCCAAACGTTAGTCTTTATCTATAGCTAAGGTGGTTGGCTGTTTGTGCTGAGGAGAGTCTGAATTATTTCTGCACTAGTCTGTCTTTAGTTGGAGCCAACACTGCTGACACACGTGGACTCATGTAGACAGAACGTCGATACATTCAGAGCGTCCCGATTGTTCTCAACTGTTTTATTGTTTAAGTAAGGTTGAAAAAAAAACCTTTTGGAACTTAAACTCAATTATTGAAACAAAAATAATGTAAATCCATTCATTTATCTATAGTTTTTTGTTAACTGATACACCGCAGAATTTTTGTAGCCCGCTGATTTTAGATCCCTGCAGCAAAACCGTCAAACAGGTATCAGCTCGCAGCCCAGAGCGCGTGTTGGAAGAGAGAAGTGCATTCCAACTATCTATAAATTATCTCACAATCCAGCTGAGTCAAACCTCATCACTAGTGTGGAAATGTGATGTCAAATGCTAAACATAACTAATATGACGTGGTTGTGAATATTTATGAAAGATTTATTTTAGTCTAGAAGAAAGCTAATTGGAATGGCCCATTTTGGAGCAGCTGGTGGATGTAAAGCTTCCAGCGACGTGATATCACACATTAAGCGAAGCAGCGATGCCCTCGTCTCCTCGGAGCAGAATCATGATGATCAGAGAAGAAAATCAATGCTGTTTTGTTGCAGCATTGATCCCATTTGTGACGGGTGAGATTAAACGAGAGCAGAGGGCCTTTCTGTAAAGTCAGCCTGCATCACTGTGCACATTTATCTACTGTTGTTAAAAGTCTATTTTCTGTCCTCTTCACACTTTTTAATGATCTGTTATTCATCTTTACTGGTGTTTAAGGACTTCTGGATCAAGTGATCTTTTGATAGGTTAGTTAGATTATTATACGTTTAAAGTTATCAGAAGTCATGCAACGCTTATATAGAAAATCCAAAATAAAAGTCCTTTAATCTCATTCATGATACTGTGAGTAAACAGACAGGTATGCTTTTAATTTTTTCTTATAGCTTATTATTTGAAAAAAAAAATAATTAATGCAAAAAATTTAAATAGTCATTTTTTCAATGAGTTTAGACTTATCATTTTAAATTGCCTTTTTATTTTTCAAATAACAGATGAAGCTTTGCTGCAGATCACCAACCCGAAGAGCTCAATAGACATTGCCTGAAGTGTTACCTGCAGATATCTTATGAGTTTCTGTTTCCCGTGGCAGTGACACTCAGCTTCAGATGGTGCAGTATGTGTGGGAATTTTCTGCAGGAATGCCATCAGCTTCCACTGTCTTGACCTCTTGCATTTAGTCAGCTCAAAGGCACCTACCAATTCTGGCTCTTGGTGCAACAATCTGTTGCAAATCTTTGATCGATTTACAGTACTTGAAATAACTGCATCAAGATATGTAAGTTAGGTTTTTTTCATGGTTCAGCTTGGGATGAATTCCCCCTGGGAGCAAATCAGTTTTTCTTAATTCAAAAAGGCAGAAGAGGGACTCAGTCTTTGTCTACAAAATGTGTCCTGCCTCCACACTCACACATAAAGTATGTTGTATATTTTTTATCTTTGCATGAGCAACAATACAATCAGATGCATTTTTGTTGACTTTTTCAACTTCACACATATCAGGTTTTTATTTCACTTTTTTTTCCTCGTGGTTGGTTGCACTTTTTAGCTCAAGCTTGGGTCATCAGAGGCCTGGGAGTTGGAGGTTGCTTCACAGTATTTCAGCTGTTCCTTGAACTGAGTTCTTCTGTGCAGATCTCTGAGGTCCTCGGTTCTGTTGGAACTACTTTCCCAGTTTGGGGTTCACAACCCTGATGGCTCCGATGTGAGCACTAAGAACTTTCCACAACTTAAAGATTAAAGTTGAACTCTGATCTCCCAGTCCCAGGGCAAACACTACCACCAGGCCACTGAGCTGGTCTTACTTCCTTTCAGCTCCTCCTGTTCCTTTATCCTGTTCCCACTCTGACAATCGGGAATGCAATGTCTACAATGTCTTTATCTATTTATACATATTTCTGGAATAATATTATAGTTATTCTTTATTTCCTTCTGAAGTTGTTGTTCACTAATTTTCCCAAAAGTTTATCTCATTTCTCTTAAATAAGTCAGGTAGATTCTAATGAAACAAGTCTACAAAGGACAATCTATAAATGCAGATTGTGCTAACCACCTGCAGTGAATACCTAATAAGTGAAGATCAGCTGATAAATCTGTGTAAGGTGGTAATTAGGGTTGTCTGTCTACCTTCCAGGCAGCATTGTTTACTTGGGAATGATGGTCGGAGCTTTTTTCTGGGGAGGGATGTCTGACAAAGTGGGCCGCAGACAATGCCTCCTCATCTGCATGTCCACCAATGGCTTCTTTGCCTTCCTGTCGTCATTTGTCCAGGGATACGGCGTCTTCCTTCTCTGCCGTCTCTTTGCAGGCTTTGGGTAAGTCTGATGAGGTGGGGTCGAGGAGGAGTCCAGTAAAAAAGCCCGTGATGCATAATTGATGCAGTTATCGTCAGAATGTCCTCGGTCAGATTTTATTTTGAATGTGGGGTCAAGCTTCAAAAAAGTGCTTCAGTGTTTATACAAGTTGATTAGTTTCCTTTATGGATGCATTCAGAATATTTTTGATATTATTACAGAATAATCATGAAGCCACGTAATATTTATAAATGTAAAAATGCCATTTGACAAATATAAGTTTCTGTTACAGCTATACGTTTATTACTTTTGTGCTTATCACACCCTCCTTCATTAAAAGAAGGTATATTCTAAATATTATGTGATGATGGAGTGTGTCCTCCTCCTACAACAGACACAGTGTGTGATTTATTTTGTTTTCTTTGGCAGTGGTACTGCTTCTTTTAGAGCTAATTCAGTAATTGCACTGACATCATTCTCTCCAGAACCACTGAGTAATTGAAAAGGTGGTCTAAACTGCCAGAATGACTCATGTCTCTGGATCGTGAGGACCAGGTTTTTCCCTTTTTTTAAAAAATCTTTTAAAGTGGAAGAAAAGTCCTTGGAGATAAAAATTTTGTTTGGATTGTTTTTGCAAACAAGCCCCAAACTGAATTGAACCAAAGCACATGAAACAAATCTTTGATGCAAATAGAGATGGGAAAGTAAAACACACTCCCAAAAAAACACAGAAATACAGCACCACCCTGTTCTTTCTAACTTTCTGTATCTTTACTTTATTTTTCAGGATAGGAGGTGCTGTGCCCATAGTTTTCTCCTTCTTTGCAGAGGTGTTGTCCAGAGAGAAACGAGGCGAGCACCTGAGCTGGCTGTGCATGTTCTGGATGATTGGAGAGATCTATGCATCAGCAATGGCCTGGGCCATCATACCCCACTATGGTGAGTCCTCCTCCTGCGGCCGGCGGCTTTGAAGAGGAAAAACGACTAGCACTGAATTAGACATTGCAGTCCTAAAGGTTTTTAAAGGCACACTTGGCAGTTTTGGCTTGCCTTTAGCACCCCCTTGTGTCCGTTTAGTAGAACCAAAGTGAAACTTATCTCCTCCCTGTGCATTTGTCTTTTTAACACCTTCATCTAAAGCTGAAATATCTCCTCAGCCTTCATTAGTGTCTACAGCAGCAGTTCCTCACTAAATTAAAGTTGTGTTCATGATCTAAAACATGGAAACATGCTGGAAGCAGACTGCAGCGCCAGGCATGTCAGCGGAATATTTTTCCAACGGGAGGAGACCCGCCAGTCTGAAGTTGCAAGTGCATATTGTCTGAGTGACTTTAATCCTGTAACGGGTAATTTTACCACATACTGGCACAACAAATGTGTTTAAAAATGTGAATAGTTGCACAGTATCCCTTTAAGAAGCCAGGTTTGGTGAACCGACTTCAGCAGGAAAGGTGTTGATGATGATGGAAAACCTGTAGCCACCCTGTTGTTTACCACCACAAGAGTATGACTGAATGAGTGAATGTCTAATAGATCCTCTTTAAGCATTTTGGGTGCCTTTTAACAAAAATGTTATGTAGTTTCCTCTGTTACAAATTCAAAGAAAAGAAAACAGCTAAGACATTTTCTAGAAAAAGAAAATACACAAGAACATTTCAAGACAGAAAATACAAAAACTCATTCATAACTCACATACATTCTATTATCAGTCTCATTAATCACACAAAAGGAAGAAATGTCTCTGTGCCATAACATAAACAGACACAACAGCAACTATAAACAAAAAACAGGAACAAACATTTGGAGCAACAACAACGATCATCATCATCATATGAAGAAATATTTTCTGTTTTTAGTATTAATTCATTTGCTTTTTTTATGATAAAAGGACCAGATGTTTGACTAAAACATCAAAGAGCTCAGTCAGTGTTCTTTCTCCCCTCCATCCTCTGTTTTTATTTCCTGCCTGGTTTTAAACCTGATGAACCTTCCTTTGACTGGTTCCTCTCTCCTCCTGTTTTATGCTCTCCACAGCTCCCTGTCTCACCCCGTCCTTCCTTTTATTACCTCCCCTCTCTGTCTCTGCAGAGTGTTCTTCTTGATCAAGCATAATTAGATTTTTCTCCTTGCTCTAATAGGACAAAGCTACATCTAGAGGTGATTTATGACCTAGCCATGCTTTCGCCAACCTGTGACGTCAGTATGAGAAAAAGACAGTGTGTGTGTGTGTGTGTGTGTGTGTGTGTGTGTGTGCTACTTTAAGCTGCTTGGATGATGTTTTATTAGTGCTACAGACACATACACGTCTTCCTCAAGAAAAATTGAAAGAAATAAAATTTGACACTGGATGAGGCTATTCAAGTTAAGACACTACTGCTGTACACCGCTGCAGATTCTTTCATAGGGATGGACTGGAACACACTAGTAAAATAACTCTCAAACCCCTCTAAACCAGAACTTTATGTGTTCTTATGAGGACACCATGCTGTCAGATCTGCTGATGTCATATTGAATAGATGGTAGTCGCCTTACTGTGCTCCATTCCCTGACACGCTCTCCTACTCTGCCTATATTCCTAAGTGGGAACTACGTGTCTTGCATACATACCAACGCTCACCACTAGATTTAATGTTTTCTAAAGTGCTGCAGCGCATCCAGCCAGGAACATGATGATGTATTGGAAAAAGATATAGAGTTTGTTTTTTTTGTCTTCTTTTAAAAACTTGAAGGTTGAGTCACAATCTGTTAAAGAAAAGGGGAAGTGGCTTGCTGTGAGATCAAGAATCTCCTGTCTGAGAAATGAAAGTTTAAATTCTGGTGATTGGTTTGGTCTCTTTCCTATACCCTTCAGTTGCTCATTAATCCCTTCGTCCATCTTTCTCAGCCTGGGGTGGCTGACTCACTCATCCATAAGCTGAGTCAATTATGTGCATAATTCCTGTAATGGGATTTTTTGTGGTACGAGGAAAACACTAACCCTCCACGGCAGGAAGTCACAGTGCAACCCCCTTCGTAATTTTCGCAACCACTCTGTCTAATGTTTGAGTCACCACACTCAACAACGAGGATGACACTGGAAGACCTGTAGATGCTTTTAATTTTGTTTGCCTGACCCTAACTTTGGGAACCATCACATGGAACCAACTGAGAAGCCCAAACCACAAAACCCTAAAATCAGCTCTAATCCTCATTTCAGACTCTGAGGAACATAGTTCAGTCCAGTTGTTCACTGCAGGTCATCATCAGATGGTGTTGTTGTCTTGTAATGAAATAAAAAGATAAAATGCACAAGAAAACTGATGAGCATCTGAAAGATCCTTGAAAAAGCCAGATGTTACCAAGTCATTACTCCTTCTGCCCCACATGACACAGCAAGAGTTAGACTGAAACAATTACTGAAACGTTCTGGCTGTGCATCAGGGGAGAGTCTAGATGTCTATAGATTTGGTTCTGGGATTCATGGGAAGCTCTTTTATTCGGTTACCAGCGTAGAAAAAAATCAAAAGCAGAAAATCATCGGGTTAATCTGCAAACCATCTGAATGCTCTTCATGAGTCCTTATTAATTCAGGCTATTATTTGCCCATCTGTTTGTTTCTTTAAATGGACTCAGTGACAAAGGGAATACACACAGATACATGTGAGGCTGATTTGAAGAGGAACATAATCTGATTTTCCTAAAGGGCTGTAAAGAAAGTGTTTATGGCATCACATCTTTCCCCCTGCAGGCAGGAGCTCTCTCAGTGTCCATTTTCCCGTTCACTTCCTGAAGAAAGTCTTCCACCTGTGATGGAAACAGCAACTGTGGGAAAAGCCCGAACCAAATCTCCAGCATTTAAAAGTGCTGACATGAACTATTTTTTAAGCTGTTTTATTGATTTTCAGAACATTGGCAATGTGAGCTGAACCAGGTAAAAGAGCTTATTCCGAACTTTCTTAGTAGATGTCTGACAGTCCAAAACCTCATAGAGAAGAGTTTTAGATGGGCACAGGGGAAAACGATCCTTTTTCCACTCATCAGGTTTTTCTCCTACTACGAATCTCCTCCACTTATAACAAATATCCACAACTTTTTACAATAGTTGTTTTTAGTTGCTGTCAAGGCCGGGTTTTAATGTGCTGTAAGAATAATTCCAAACTGTTTTTTATTTTTTTTGCAAAACCATTAGCATTAACCCCCTCCCAACCCTGTGGCTCCCCTCCTACGCATGTTGATGGATAATGGTGCTATATTCCCTTTGGAGCAGTATCTCCATGAAGCATGATCAGTGGAGAGACGTGGGAGGTGGCGATGAGCATGGCGGCCCATTTTGGTGCATTCTGTGTAATATTTTAAAATGATGGCTTCCATGCCATTTCAGCATGAATGTATCCGGGTGCAAAGTTTCACTTCACCTTTAGAGAAACTTTCTACATTTGGTAGATTAGAGGTCTGTCTCAGTCTTTTTAAACGTTGTGCTTTAAATGTTTTTCTGTTAAATGATCATAAATATCCCTGATGTAAAATTTAGTGTGTTTGTATGATTGCTTGTGTTTTTCTGAGGGGGAGTGTGACATGGCATTATGCTGTGTCAGTTTAATCTGCACTTAGTAATCCATATTATTTATGTCTCTGCTGCATTCCCTATAGACCCACACGTTTTTTTTCGTGCAAGCGCGCGTGTGTCTTTTGTACAATACGTGTGAGCGTGAGTGCATGTTACAATGATTAATGAGTCTGGAAGACTGCCTGTGGGCTAAGATCAGGTGCAACAAGATTGAACTTAGCAGGAAACACTCAATTCTATTCTTACACATTCAATTAACCCGTCCCTGTGTACTCTTCTCTGCAGATCCACTCATCTCTCGGCCCGTACATCACTCTGCTCAGACTGAGAGCTCCAATTTAAATGTCGTCTTTGATTTGAAGCACTTTTTGTTAGCTGTGTGATCTTCACACTTAACTACTGCGTGAACTTTCAGTCCAAAGTAGCTCATCCTTTATGTAAAGGTACAAAATAATAAAGTTCACGATACCATCTGGTCCTTTTAGAACTTTTGTATTTTTTACCTGCAGCCAAAAATAGAGAAGGTTCTAGATGGGGAGGCTGTTTGCTCTGTTAGAAAGGCACATTTGTATTAAAACATTAAAAACATTAAAGACAGTGCCTTTTCAATTTTTACTGTAGAAATACAACAATATAATTGGTCTGGCCACGACCAATAGGGAGAGCTCACTCATGGGGCGGAGCCTACAAATGCCTTTCAAACTGTCTCTGCATGTTATTGGACAACGGAAGAACGAACGAAGAAGACACAAATACGTCCTTTTTTCTAAATAAAGCACTTAAGTACCCCTATCTGCTTTTGACTCAAAGAAAAGCACATGTATAAATAGTCCAAAGTTGAGGCTAAAACTGTTTCAAATGAGCCATTGCCAGCTTGGTTCACTCTGTTGCATCATCCCGCCCTCTAAACCAATAGTGTGTCGTGATTGGCAGAACACAAATTTAGTCAGGGCTGCTGAGGATCCAGTGAAGCTTGGTTAGACCGACATGCAGAGCAACATCATTGTGCTTCGACAACTGTCTGTTTCTAGGCTAACATTCTCATGCTTTAGTTCCACACCTTTCTTTGGGCTAAATAATCACAAAAAGAAACAAATAAAAAAATTGTACTTGTTTATGCTTAGGCTTTCCTAAGGGGGTAAACTTGCTGTTATGGTGGTACCCCACCCCACCCCACCCCATAGCACTACCTCTGGCCAAAAGGCAGCAGGGGGGTAAGAATGTTTTTGTGAATTAGTAAGTTATCCCATGAACCAGTGGATTTATTTAATTGAAAATATTTTGCAAGGTGTTCACTGGACGTGCTCCTACAACTGGCTTTTGTTGGAGTCAATTGAACGGCAGATTAGCAGAGACAGCCAATCAACATCCAACACCCGAACAGCTTTGCCTGAGTCAGATATATGTGGTGTGCTGAGAGTCTTTCACTGTTCATACTTGTATGTTTAATGATCAGGCCTGATCCTGCAAATCCCATGAGACCAAACTTGCTATCATCCCATCATTTCACAACAGAAAATGTTTTTTATTCAATATGGCATAAAAAGCAGTGGGTGATTTGCATTGCTTCAAAAATACATCAGTTTTATTATGCTTCTACACGTAAACATCTCCCCAATTGGACCACCCGCTTACTTACAATTATATGAACTTGGTAATAAATCATCTTTCGGTAAACTGTGCACTGCGACCTTGTTCCAGTGTTTCATAAAATCTAATAAATCTACTTTTATGACAATTAAAGTTGTATTTGGACATAAAGATGGTCACTATGGATAGAGCAAGTTTTGCAAAAGTCGTTTTAGTGTGACACAGTTTTGTACGATCTACAGGCTGGAGCTTCAGCATGGGATCAGCGTACCAGTTCCATAGCTGGAGAGTGTTTGTCGTCGTCTGTGCCCTGCCGTGTGTGTGTGCTGTGGTGGCACTTACCTTCATGCCTGAAAGTCCCAGATTCTACTTGGAAGTAAGAAGACTATTTTCTGAATTCTCGACAAATATGTTTATGTTTACGTATTTAGCAGACATCAATCATGGAGAGGAGGGAACAAAGGAGTGGACGGTAGAGAGGGGTTCGGGTGCAGGGAGGGTGCTAGTTAAGAAGATGCTCTCTGAAGAGCAGGGTCTTCAGGAGTTTCTTGAAAATTGAAAAGGAAGCCCCTGTTCTGGTAGTGCTTGGTAGGTCATTCCACATTTGTGGAATGACGCATGAGAAGAGTCTGGATTGTCCTGAGCGTGGTGTAGGCACTGCTAGCCGACGATCCTGTCGAAACTTAAACTTGTGCAGGAAATAGATAGTCGATGGAAACTCAAAGATCAAGTTGTGATGACAAGCAGCCTGTACATTTTAACTGCAGTACTGGACCCGTGCTTCAAACAGCTGCCTTTTCTTAATGATGAGAAATGGGATGAGGCCTTTTCTGAAGTCGCACAACTTGCACAGAGATGGTAGTGTTAGGAAGGTCATTCTACATTTGTGGAAATGTTCAAATGAAAATGAAAATGTTCTTCTGATTCTTGCTGTGTTATTGTTATTACCGATATGTCTTAACCGTGACAGTTTAAGCATCTGTCTGGAAAAAATAAGAGTATTTTACCCAGAAGATGTTCGGATCAGGGCTTGTGTGTTTGTGGAGGAACACACTTGTGCGTGTCTGTGACAGGCTGTGGCTGCTGGAAGAGAATTACCCTCTAAAGAATAATAATGAGTCACCACTGTCGTGACTTTCATCACAGAGAAATCAAACGACTACCTCAACATACAATAATGTTGCACGTTAAGTTTTTGCAATGAGTTCTGTCTTGTGAATGCATTGCATCGTTTCCTGTCCCTGCTGTCAGGTGGGGAAGCACGATGAAGCCTGGATGATCCTCAAACAGATTCACGACACCAACATGAGAGCTCGTGGGCAGCCGGAGAAAGTCTTCACCGTGAGTGTTTGTTTCTGTGGTTCACAGGTTTCCTAAAGCTTAAAGAAGCAAAGAGGCTTATGTTCTGCCATCACTGGGACAGGTTTAAATATTTTACCCGTGCGGGATCACGTCTGAATTAAGATGGGCCTGAAAGCAGTTTTGTGTCATTAAGACTTATTTGCTGCAGGAGCTGCACTTTCAGAAAGCTGCTTAGTTAAGACATGTTTCATGAATTAATTGTGCACGGTGCAGAATGTTGTCGTTTCATAAATTTAGAGTAATTTTTGTCACCGTTTCCATATATTTCTTCATTCAATCCTGTGGAAACAGGTGAATATACTGAAAAACTGTGTTAGTAATTTCAGACCCCGATCTTACCTGAAAATGAAGGAAAATAAGTTTTATTAAAATTTTAAATAATTTTCTATATTTTGTAGCCTTTACCCATTCTGATGGCTATGGATACTGTTTGAAAATGAATAATGCACAAATACTAACCAAGCTCTGTTACTGCAACTGTAATCTAACAGGTAAACAGGATTAAAATCCCCAGACAGACGGATGAATTAGTAGAAATGGAATCAGAATCTGGAAACTCCATCTCCAAGGTTTTCTTTAGGATAAAGTCAGAAGTACATGGGGTAAATTTCTCATTTCACCTTTCACCTGTTATATCAGCTAATTTATTCCTAAAAATACAAACTATAATTCATCTTTTGTTTTTATATTTTAGATCTATCTGAACCTTATGAAATGCTTCAACTACCCTATGAAGGAAAACATGGTCCGACTGGCCATAGTGTGGTTAACGCTGTCCTTTGGGTGAGTTTTTCTCTGATGTAATTTTTCTCAGGGAGAAACCAGACAAGCATCTCTGCTCAGATAATAGCATCAGGGAGTAAGGCTTGCAGACACAATACATTTCTGTCATCCTGATCTCTCTGCTGTGCAAACGTTGCATGGTCATGAGATCAATCACAGAGTGTGGATCAATACTGTTCCATTCATGGTTGCAGAGGTAGGAGAGAGAGGAAAAGATAAAAACAACTCGAAAACCTTTTAATTAACAGAGAACCCACTGGTCTTTTCTACCTCTTTGTCCACCTGTTTTGTCACACTGTAGTTGTGTTTGTGCGATTGCAGGTATTATGGACTGTCCGTCTGGTTTCCCGATGTCATCAAACACCTTCAGGCAGATGAATACGCCTCCAAAGTGAAGATCCACAACGATGAACGCATCGAAAGCTTTACCTTTAACTTTACGCTGGAGAACCAAATCCACAACAATGGTCTCTTCATTAATGACCAGTAAGATGTCAAATAAGTCATTGTAGTCGACGTTGGTCACCATACTGTAGATTAAATGATCGTAACCCATTTTTCTTCTTCAGTTTCATCAACATGAAGCTGAAGTCAGTCACCTTCGTTGACTCTACGTTTCGGAGTTGTTTTTTTGACGATGTGACATCGGTGGGCACCGTCTTCAGAAACTGCACTTTTATTGATTCGTTCTTCTTTAACACAGGTAAGAAGTTTGAGTTTATCATTATAAACTTAAAATCAGCTTAAAACAAAAACACCATTTGATAAAGTGAGGTGACAGATTAGTGGAGAAAATTTCAGTCTTGCTCTACATTTGGTTTGCAACACCTGCTTCTGACACGACTGAATTGTCGTCGTCTTTGCAGATATCGATGAATCCAAGTTGATAGATGGCACAGAGGTGATTAACAGCACTTTCACCCACAACAAGACAGGGTGCCAGATGACATTTGATGATGACTACAGTGCCTACTGGGTTTACTTCATCAACTTCCTGGGCACTTTAGCTGTCCTCCCTGGAAACATCGTGTCTGCACTTCTTATGGACAAAATTGGGCGACTTTCCATGTTGGGTAATGAATAGACATGTTTGAGAGGGTTACTGCTGATAGATGGGTTCATATTTAGTTGTCACTGATTTTTTGTATTTGTGAATGTTCATCAGGTGGCTCCATGATTCTGTCAGGCATCAGCTGTTTCTTCTTGTGGTTTGGCACCAGTGAGTCCATGATGATCTTCATGTTATGCCTTTATAATGGTCTGAGCATTTCTGCCTGGAACTCTCTGGATGTGGTCACCACAGAGTCTTTTCCTACTGTCAGGAGGTGAGGGGACAAAGAAGAAAACTGTTTCCTTTAGATTTTGTAAAAGTTATCTTACATCTTACTTCATCTCTCCTCAGGGGAACTGGCTTTGGGTTCTGCAATGCCTTGTGTAAGCTGGCTGCTGTCATGGGAAACCTAATTTTTGGTTCTCTAGTTGGTATCACCAAAGCCGTCCCTATTCTAATGGCCTCGTCGGTGCTTGTTGGAGGAGGCCTGATGGGGTTGCGGTTGCCAGACACCCGGGCAAATGTTCTCATGTAGCGCTACTGACCAGTTTGTCAATCCCTATGAGTGTTTGAGGAAGCCCGTAGAGTTTTTGAGTGAGGAGTACAAGAGGCTTGGTTCATCTTAATACTAAAAATCTCATTTTATCAACATACATTAAAGCTGTGGCTATGCACACACACACACACACACACACACACACACACACACACACACACACACACACACACACACACACACACGCACGCACGCACGCACGCACGCACACACACACACACATAGTGCTGTAAAGGAGGGCTGCTGTGACAGCAAGCATGTTCTCGATATGTTCTAATCATTGAATTACCTTCTCAGCCTTCATTGGGTTCTACAGGAGATACTAAATACTCTTTTTAATCAGATATGCAGTTCAAACGGGGAAACATCTAAAACCACCAGGAGTCCAGCAATCTAGCACACCCCTGCTAAAGCTACAAGAAAAAGAAGAAGAAGAAGAAGAAGAAGAAGAAGAAGAAGAAGAAGAAGAAGAAGAAGAAGAAGAAGAAGAAGAAGAAGAAGAAGAAGAAGAAGAAGAAGAAGAAGAAGAAGAAGAAGAAGAAGAAGAAAATATCTTTTCTATGGCACCTCTCGAGATAAATATCACGAGGTGCTTCACAAAAACAAAAAATGTAAAATATAAAAAAGAATTTAGAAAATGTATTAAACTATATTTAAAATGAGCAAAAAATAGACAATTGTGATTAAAAAATGTAAAGAAAGAGTGAGAAAGTGAATAGGGAAGACGGAAATCAGTGGATCCTGAGGTAGGTGGAATAGGAAGGGAGAGCAGAACAAGGAGAGAGTGATGTAGGTCACACCAAAGCCAACGCGAACAAGTGAGATTTCAGCTGCTTTTTAACGGAGACCACTGAGTCCACTGATCTCAGGCTCAGGGAGTGAGAGGTCCAGAGTCTGGGGGCCACAGCAGCAAATGAACGGTCACCTTTGGTCTTTAGCCTGGTGCGCTGCACAACCAGTAGGCTTTGATCACTGGACCTCAGGGACCTGCTGGGGGTGTAGGGACTAAGAAGATCACGAATGTAAGATGGTGCTTCTCCATGTAAGGCCCTATAGACGAGCACAAGGATCTTGAAAGGAACCCTGAAGTTGACTGCCAGCCAATGAAACTGGAGGAGAAGCGGGGTGATGTGGGTGTGTTTGGAGGACTTGGTCAGAAGCCGAGCACAGGCATTCTGAACCACCTGTAGACGGTTCAGGGAGGTTCTGCTCAGACACGTGAAAAGAGAGTTGCAGTAGACTAAGAGTGAGGAGATGAAGGTGTGGAGAACAGTCTCAAGTTCAGAATGGGACTCAGCTTAGCAATGTTCCTGAGATGGAAGAAGGAAGAGCGAACAAGAGAACTGACATGAGAATCCAGGGTGAGAGCTGAGTCAAAGCTCATACCAAGATTCCTGACAGAAGGTTTGGTGTGAGAAGCAAGCTGACCAAGAGAGTCTTTGACTTTGGGAACCGGCTTGTCTGGGGCACAGATGAGGATCTCAGTCTTATCTTCATTCAGCTGTAGAAATTTCCCAACCATCCAGGTTTTAATAGAGTCTAAGCAGGTGTGTAACAGCTGCAGCTTAAACATCTCATGGGGCTTAAAGGAGATGTACAGTTGGATGTCATCTGCATAAAGATGGTAGGAGATTCCTTTTAAGGAGCTCAGGATGTGCTGAAGAGGAAGCAGATAGAGTAGGAAGAGCAGAGGTCCCAGCACAGAACCTTGTGGGACACCATGGGTAAGGGAGGTGGTGGAGGACCTAAACCTGGAGATGGCCACAGAGAAGGAGTGCTCAGAAAGATAAGAGGAGAACCACTCCAGAACAGTTCCTGATAGGCCTACCCAGTCTCTCAGCCTCTCCAGTAGCAGGTGATAGTCAACAGTATCAAACGCTGCCGTCAGGTCCAGCAGGACTAGAACAGAGAACAGTCCCCTGCATCACTATGAGTCAGAAGGTCGTTAGAGACCCTAAGAAGAGCTGTTTCAGTAGAATGAGCTCTAATGGAAGCTATCATAGATGTTATGTTCATCAAGAGCAGCTGTGAGTTGTTTAGCCACAACCTTTTGCAAGATAACCAGATGGCAAGCAGGAGGTGGGGACGCAGAAACTGACAACTTAAAGAAAATGCAATGGTGATCTGAAATGTAAACATCCTCAGGACAAACACTGTCAGTATTTAGACTTAGGGTAAAAACAAGGTCTAGAGTGTGTCCCCTGGTGTGTTTGGGACCAGAAACCTGCTGGGTAACGCTGAAGGAGTCCATAAGGCTGGAGAAATTCATGGCAAAGTGGTCTGAGGGATCATCAACGTGGATGTTAAAGTCATCAACAATCACCAGTCTGGATAGCTTCACAGTGGAGGATAGAAAGTCACTAAACCCCTGAGGGAAAGAACTGTTTGGACCAGGTGGACGATTAACCACAGCACAGTAAAATGGGGTTTTACGCCCGACTTTAGTCAGCTGCAGTTCAGAGGAAGCAAAGTGACCAGAGGTTGTAGAGCTACATGGAAGATGGTCTCTGAAAACAACAGCTAGGCCTCCACCATGACCAGAACTTCGGGGCTGGCTAAGGAAAGAATAACTACTCGGGCAGAGTTCAATCAGACCAGAATAATTAGATGTTTGCTGCCAGACTTCAGTCAGAAACAAAAAATCTAGGTTTTTAGAGAAAATTAGATCATTAAGCAGGAAGGACTTATTGTTAACAGAGTGGGTATTTAATAGAGCCATGCTGAGTGAGGTGGAGGAATCAGAAACTACAGAAACAGCTGGAGTTAGTGGATGTAGATTACCAGGGATAGATCCTCGGTGTTTATAAAAACCACTTATGGAGGGAACAGGAGGAGAAACCACTGAAGAATGAGGATAAACAGACCTTAAAAAACTTGGATGGAGAAACTGCGCCGCAACACGGCCTGGCGGGAATGCGGAAGTGGCGCTCAGGTCGCCAAACAAAGAACAAGAAGCTAGAAGATTACGTCAATGTTTACTAGATAAATGTGATGCTAGCACACCTCTGCTAAAGCTACAACAGGCTAAAACAAAAGTCCCACTCGTGATGCTAGCACCCCCCTGCTAACGCTACAACAGGCTAAAACAATAGTCCAATGTAATGCAAAGTTGAACACTAGACTAATGACTGTTGCTCCAATACACTAAAAATAATCTCTTTTTGTTCTCCTTCCTTCCACAGTTAGCTTGAAGTTTACAGATTGACATGATTGACATCAATGATGGTCGAGTTAGCATTCAAGCTAGGCTGGTGTGATAAGCTGATTTTGTGTTAATGCATCACATTGCAGTGCATTCTGGGTAAGAGGGCACATTCTCGTTGATTGACAGCTGCCTCTTGGATGTAGCTCTATTGTCAAGGCTCTATAGCTCACGCAAAAAGTTGTTTTGCTGTAGAGACCTGGGGAGGGACTTTAGGCTGATTCATGCTTCTTCGTCTGCGTCAGTGCGGAGACATGCAACGCCATTATCCATCTTTGCGGGCCTGCTGGAGAGCCCCACAATGACGAACGGAGTCGAGCTCTCTAAACCCATGTTTCCTGTCATTTACGTCCACAAATAAAACGCTTGCTGCGTATCTTTTCACTCCTCCAGTCACGAGGAAATGAAATGTTCGTATTTTTAGAATTTTTTCACGAGGTATTCTTCAAACTTCTCCGTGTCTGCCGCTAGTTATTCTCAGCTCTCTTTATGTTTTTGAGGGCGCAATGGCAGCGGTGTATATGACAGCGGTGCCCTGACCAATCACAAGCTTGCATTCTCCGTCTCGATGGACGGATGTTTAGAAAAGAGAGCTCGACTCCGTCCGTCCTTGCGGGGCTTACCAGCAGGCCGGCAAAGATGGATAATGGTGTTGCGTCTCCGCACTGACGCAGACGGAGAAGCATGAATCAGCTATTTAATTTATATCAGAACAGGGTCAGACAGTCAAATTTAAAACATTTAGCGAGTTACTGTTTACCACAGCTTTAAAATTAGACAAGCTTTTTAAAACAAGTTTGTCCTCCTAAAAACCCTGGAGGATTTCATATAAACAACGTAGAAAATTGCCCAGACTTCTTTCCAAGTTCTGTTTGACTGCTCCAGTCATGACCTCATGTAAAGAAACCACATGGTTGGAAGTCTGGGGCTTTTAATATTGATACAGTCTGATTAAAACAAGCCAGATGGGGGAAAAAGTCAAAAACAAGCTGTAATGAGCACAACCAACCTGTTGTGTGACAACGCAGGGAATACATGATCAGACAGAGCAGACTCGTTGACAGCTGGCTTACCCACGAGAAAACCGAACACGACATTTGCGCAGAAAGTCGACACGCAGAAACAAATCAAAAGTGTTGAAGCAGTAAGTAACATTATGAGTACAAATACTGAGGATCAGGTGTTTTTCAACCCTGCTTTTGCATTAGACTACCAACATGATGCAGTTTGTTAAATGGCATTTTCACGGACATCTGTAACCTTTCAAAGTAGATCTTTAAAATGAGACCAAGCCCTTAGTATTGCTGACCCCAACTTGAATTGAAAAGGCCATTCTGTAAAAAAAAAAAAAAAAAGACAAGATTTTCTTTTGTACCAATAATTGTGTGTGATGTTGAATCTGAGGATCCTTAATTCCCAGGTTAAAAGATAGAGTGAAAATCTGTTCATTTCTTGTCTTTGTGTGTATTTGTGTAAAAAAGATCTATGATGAGAACTCCTTTAGCTCTGTGTCGAAACCTGCTTGTGGCAATTTCCTGCTGCTTCCTTTTTCATAATATCAAATGGCCTTTTTGAATGTGCCTCTCCTTGACCGGAACAGTCCGCCCATAGTTGTGTGTCACCCAAAGGTCACGAGGATCAGATGGGGATTTAGCAGAGAAAAATACAAATAAACAAGGCAAAATATGTAAATAAAAGAAAATATTTCCAGAAAGTAAAACGGATTGATTTTTTAAAAACGCCATTTGGTTTAGTTTGAGTTTGCGGGCTTCATTTTCTTCTACGTTCTCCACCTTTTCCCTCAAACTGGTGTCTGTGCTTTAGACGAAGGCTTTTACCCTCGTGTTGTTCACTCACAGCTAAAAAAGAAAACGTGCTGTATGTGTGCATTTATTTCCAAAAGCCTTGAGCTTTGCCAACTTTCTTTGTAAAACGTGCAAGAAAATATCTTGTGAAGTGTTGCTGTTGCTCAGCAGATAATTTTGACAGTGTTTTCAAAATTTTCAACAACTGTATAAAGATTCTAAATAAAAATAAAGATTCTAAATAAAATGCAATCCCTTATGCTGCTGACGGCTGTCTGTAGCAGACGGATATGAGACGGCGTGACCTGCCTGGTTCTGGATGGAATACTAGTACCTGTTGTGTCAGAGATGTTTGTTGTACGCAAACTGTATTTTTGTGTGTGTGCCGATGAGACAAAGACATGAAGAGTATTGTGTGTGTGTGAGTCACCATGTGGACACATAAATGTAAATATAATGTCAATATCAAAGCTAATATAGGTGAACCTCCAGGTTAAAAGTGTTTTCTGATTCATGTGTCTGACTGATGACCTTTTTCTGTGTCTCTGCTGGAAACGTGTGTGTCCTTTGATTTCACCAGCTGCTATGTGTGTGTGTGTGTGTGTGTGTGTGTGTGTGTGTGTGTGTGTGTGTGTGTGTGTGTGTGTGTGTGTGTGTGTGTGTGTGTGTGTGCATACTTGCATGTGTGCCGTAAAGTTATTTTGTGTTCTTGAAGTAAATGATCCTTGTTGAGAGCGATGGCAGATTTTTGTGGAGGAAAAATGTGAATGTATTACTCTTGTAGGTTTTGTTGATCCATTTTTTTTAGGTAGTTGAATCTATGTGAACATTTCAGTTGTAAATATGTGTTGTACAAAAATCTACTAGTAAAAAAAATAACTGACCTGTGATTTGAGAGGTCAAAATATGTGACATGTGAATACATATTTGCCAAATGAGGTGCTGTATATGACGGGAAACACTGCAGACTGATCTGCTTTGGAAACACGTGCAGTAGAATAAAATACATGCTCTCGAGCAAATCAAGTGGAGTTTTTTTGTAATTTTTTTAATAGATATCATTGACCTAAAAGGTGCAATACAAAACTTTTATTTTTTCTTGCAAACATTTAGTCCCATTTAGACAATTGTTCAGTTTACAGTTTAGAGCAAATATTGAATGAAGATATTATAAACAGTCTTCTTGACTTATAAAAATTCTTTTAAATTGGCAACTTTCAGAGTTTAATTAAAAGTGCTTCTTTTATATGTTTAACTATTTATGTTTGCATAAAAATATTTTTATTTTAGAGAACTTTATTAATTTAAGTTTGCATAAATTGTCTTTTTTTTTTTTTTTTTTTTTACCGTGTCCTGTCTGGCTGTGAAGCAAGCAGAATTGATGTCTGAATGCTGATGACAAGCCTTACAGATTTATTCTCAGGTGGAGCATCAAAGCGTCTGCTTTTAATGTCACGCCTGATACTTAAAACTTTATTGTTATTGTTGTTGAATGCTTTGTAATTCCGACCAGACACGGAGACAGAGGTGAAAGAGAAAGGAAGAGAAAAGGTGGAGAGAGAGGAGGGGGGGGGGGGGGGGGGGGTTCCACTAAAATAAACAATGAACAAGAGTCTGCTTCTAGACCTGCAGAAAAATACAAAAAAAAACAACAACAAAAGGACACAAAAAAGGGACACAACAACAATACAACAAGATCTACCTATCACTGCATCAACTTGATGAAAAAAAACAAAAAAACAATATATATATATATATATATAAAATCAACATTGCTTAACTGAAGAATCACGATAATAAATCACAATGCATTAAGTGCTCCCCATAGTCTTAAGACCTGTGTTTAACGTGCCCAAGCCCATACTTTTGAGAGCACCATGTGAGCACCTGTGTGTGTACACGCGCTTGTTTATTTAAGGTTTCTCTATAGGAGCGTCCAACAGAGAGTGTGAGGGACCACAGATCCGCCCCCCAAAGATGCGCAGGAGACGGGGGGAGCTCCAAGTCCCAGAGATCCAGGCGTTGCCCCAGAATGCAGGAACCCCAAGGAGACTGGAACCAGAAAGGCCCCCGCCCCCCTCGAGAGGCACAGAGGATCGCCCCGGGGGGTCACAACCAGCAGCCGGCAGAGTCCCTGGAGATATCAGCGGCAAGCCCACAGGCCCGCCCGCAGCCTCCCACCCCCTAGCCGGCCGAGCCCGGGACCCAGCGACCCGGGAACCAGGGGCGAACACCCCTGCCGGGGACCCAGCAGAGCCCAGGGACCCAGACCCCACCAGGCAGCCACCGGGATCTATCAGGCAGATGCCAAAATCTTAAACCCCCAGACCCGGTTGCCACGAACACTCAGGCAGACCATGGCACAAGCCCTCACACCAGGTGTGGCAGGGGGAGGGGGGACAAAGATCTATATCATCAAGAGAAGTTCCAGGAGAGGGGAGGACCCAAAGGCCCCACCTGACATATACAGTCATACACAAACACAGTCACACGCTCCCTCCCTCATGCTCACACATGCACATACAACCCAAGACTTACAAAAATGCACGCCGGACACTCACTCATGCTCCCCATACACACTCTATTAACTCTGGTCCCGGTACTGCTGCACATGGGGTACAACCATCACCGGTAACCAGAGTTTGACCCTTTCTGCTGGGGTGCTGATGAGCAGGCTCCCCCGCCCAACGCTGAGCACAGCAACCCACCACCCCAGACCCCAACCAGACTGCCAGATCTCCCTCCTAGCCTCCAGCCCCAGGAAGCCTAGCAACAACAGAGGTGGCTAAGACCCCTAGTCTCCCTCCACCTGCTCCAATACAGTGTTGTGTGATCATGAGGTGTATTCCATGGCTGTGGTGAGTGGGCAGTGCGGGCATCATCCGGCATATGCCAGCTGATGCCACCGCACCACCCCACTTTGCATAAATTGTCACTTAGTAGAACGATCATCTAGGTCCAGCTGTGGTGATCCCTAAATTGAATAATGCTGCCACCTAGTGGTTATTAATAAGTGTAATTTAAGTCAAGCTTTTCTAACAAAAAATGAACTTTTATATGACAGAAATTAGCAAAATCAACAGGTTTCACATCATTATTGTATCGTAGTTTATATTCATATTAAATAGCACTAGTTAATGAATTGATGTGCAAAATTAATTTAGGTTTTATTTGACATGATCAATTATTGATTTGATGGAAAACAAATGAGAGAATGAAGGCATCAAGATGGGGGCAACTAGTATGCCCACCCCTTCTCGGCGCCTCTCAGTGGGAGCAACTCCAGAATGGTAGAAAGTCCAACCCCTCTCAAGGAAACTGGTTCCAGAGCCAGAGCCATGCGTTGAGGTGAGTCCGATATCTAGTCGGAACCTCTCAACCTCACACACCAACTCAGGCTCCTTCCCAAGGGCGGAAATCCTATTTCAATTTTGGGGGGGACAATAAACAGTAAATCTTCAGAGAGTAATTTTTGGGGGGGACATGAAAAAAATGCTCTCTACATACAACACTGTATGTCCTTATAAGAGACTGACCTGAGACTCTGTGCCTGTGTCTGACAGGCTCTGGCTGCCTGTGCTCAAGTGACTGGACTTTGCCTAATGAAACCATTTAGAAACAATTTCATTTCTTTCTTATAGATGTCTTTATCAAAATGCAAGTTTCTACTTACTTGACGTTCTGGAGCATTAAAAAACGACCTGATGGCTGCTGTTTTTCGTTTCTCTGCCATTTCAACTGACCTGGTCTGCTGACAGTTGGACAGCAACACACACACAGATGGGATATTGTCATTAGAACGGAGCTGGAGGATATTGATCAACAATAATATCTTTCCAATTTGGTACATCTCCATAAGCATCCTTTCTTTTTGTTCTCATTTCAATAACAAGACTGTGGCCTAAAACGGAATAAGCAATTCAGAATAAAGATTTAAAAGTAGATCGTTAATAGTTGAAGCAACATGTCCTGAAATGACATGGCTATCAGCTGACCAACAGCTACACGTGTGGATGGATGCAAAGCATTCATTTTAAGTACTAAAACATATCTAACGTTTCACAACAAAGAGAGAGAACATAAAATGTCAAATTAAAATTTTATTAAATCACATAACATGAAAGCTACTAAAATCCAAATAGTTCCATATTGATTTTAATATATTTCAAATGTTCCTTCTAAATATGGCTAGAAAAAATAACACACTTCAAATCAGCTTTCACAAGTCAAGTATCAGAATGACTGAAATCTCTTTAATAAATCGTAGAAATTTTTGTAGGCTATTAGAGAATAACTGTAATATTTAATAACTTTATCTAAGTCATACTGAACAAAAAGATACACAAAATCTAAAAATATATTCTTTAAATATTTGTTTCATTTTAATAATAAAAATTAAAAACATTTACTTTACAAATACACTAAACATGTACATATTCTATAGTTTATCTTTCAATTTAATCGATCTCTCACTTTTCTCAGTTTTCATAGTGTTTTTGGGTCTGTGTGGCCAATGGGATCTTTGGCTCTATGTTTTACACTGAGAGCTTTGAGTAACGTGCCTCCACCACACATTTGCTGCAACCAGTTCATGCCTAAGCTGCACGGTGCACCAGCACTTTGACATACAGTATTGTGAACAACTGCAGAGCCTGGGGAAGACGGGATAAGAGCGGTCAAACGCTGTGGGTTTCCATACATCGGACCAGTTAGTTTTGATTCTATATTCATCTGCTAAATAGGATGAAACACGGACATTTTCGTCGATCTATAAATGCTCCGCAGATTCCAGGGGCAGACCGTGAAAGCAGTGGCGGTTCTACATCGAATTACTCCCCGGGCGAGGCCCCCTTTAAGCGCCCCCCACCACCACCACCACACCACCCCACCTGCATGAACGCACGCATGTTTTCTACAAACAGGCATGTTTTATTAGAACGACTATTGAACATTCATTTTTCTAAGTTGCACATATTTACATTAATATGAAGTTGTCAGAATGTAAAGCACTATACATTATATACTGTATCAAAATATATAGAATCAAATATACAAAAACAAACAATAACTAAATATTAAGAATATATGAACATAATAATCGACCTGAAAAGGGTGGCTTGCCACCTCCGGGTCGGGGGAGAGGTCCTACCTCAAGTGGAGGAGTTTAAGTATCTCGGGGTCTTGTTCACGAGTGAGGGTAGGAGGGATCGGGAGATCGACAGGCGGATTGGTTCGGCGTCTGCAGTGATGCGGACGATGAGCCGATCTGTCGTGGGGAAGAGGGAGCTGAGCCAGAAAGCCAGGCTCTCGATTTACCGGTCGATCTACGTCCCAATCCTCACCTATAGCCATGAGCTTTGGGTAATGACCGAAAGAACGAGATCGCGGATACAAGCGGCCGAAATGAGTTTCCTCCGTAGGGTGGCCGGGCTCAGCCTTAGAGATAGGGTGAGGAGCTCGGACATTCGGGAGGGACTCGGAGTAGAACCGCTGCTCCTCCGGATCGAAAGGAGCCAGTTGAGGTGGTTTGGGCATCTGGTCAGGATGCCTCCTGGACGCCTCCCCGGGGAGGTGTTTCGGGCATGTCCTGCCGGCAGAAGGCCCCCGGGTCGACCCAGGACACGTTGGAGAGGTTACATCTCCAATCTGGTCCGGGAACGCCTTGGGGTCCTGCCGGAGGAGCTGGTGGACAAGGCCGGGGAGAGGACGGCCTGGAGCTCCCTAGTTGGGATGCTGCCCCCGCGACCCGGACCCAGATAAGCGGAGGAAGACGACGACGACGATGAACATAATAGATAATAAATATTCTAAATAGCAAAAATATTTCACACATAACAAACTAAAGATAATCACTACAGCATTGCACTTAGAACAGAAAACACAAACAAAAATTAAAACCTAACCTTGATGCAATGTCATCAATAATGTCATCACATGAAATCTGCTCCCCTACTGAGTGATTGATACTAATCAGAGCCAGGTTAGTGAGCCGCCCCTGAAACATAGCTGACCTCAGGTATGACTTGATCAAGTTTTGAAAAGCTCCTCTCAGCTGGAGCCACAGTGACTGGCAGAGAAGTCCAAAAGTTGGGGTAGATCTCCAATAGATCTCATGATCCATAATATTTTAGAATTGCCTCTGAAATTGTAATTTAAACTGACATAAAAAACTGTAGACTACCAAAAATGCCAACTTTTACAGAACAAATCATGTAAAAATAATCAGTGCAGCCATCTGCAATAAATAAACAGGATAGTTAGTGGTGACTTGGGAGTTTTCTTCTGCTTGTAGAGTTGTTTTATTTATTATTATGTGAACATGATCAACATGTGTTTGTTGTTGTTCATGCAGGCCACAGGCTGCAGCGAGCATTTAACAAATCCTAGTTTGAATCAGTAAAAATCGATTCAAGGACTTTTTTCGAACCATTTGAATATTCGTTTCAATATTTCAGCCCTATTAGCTCTGTTAGCAATTAGTTGACCGCATTTAAGCATTAAAATCCCAGTTAACTGGTTCAAAAAATTGAAAACATGCATCATGAGAGCTACATACCTTTATCTTTCTCCTCTTTTTTATTTTTTAATCCCCTGAATGGGGCACCTGGTGGTTTTAGCCTTTTTATGTTCATCTCTTCTGTTTGGCTCCTGACTCAGCAAGTTTCCTTTAGTCAGGACTAAACAATTTGACCTTGATGGGGGGGTGACCACAAAATCGTTTTGTTTTTCCTTTTTTTATTCGGTCATTTCACACAATTCAGAAACACCTGAAAGAATGATAGGCCTGTGTTTATGATATTATGAATGAAATATGGAAGAACTTTAAGATGTGATTGACTTTAGCCATGTTAATACAGTTGATTCAGCCCCTGCACGCTCATTTCATTTGGGAAAGACGCAGAGGTGAATTCCCCCACCGCACCCCTCCCCTTCCTGTTCTTCATAGACACACGGTGCACGTGAACGTTCTCAGTCAGCAGGAGCGCCTGCAGCTGCAGGGGGCGCCAACTCGCTGTTTCCAATCCAGACACTATGACAGATAATAGAAAACCTCGGTGCGGCGCAGATTTCCTTTTTTTTTTTTTTTTTTTTACTCCGCGCTTGTGCGCCCCTTTTGTGTCATGAAAAAATGCCGCCCCGGGCAACTGCCCTGTCTGCCCGTGCCTAAAACCGCTACTGTGTCCGGAAAAAGGAACTTTTTATCACCTTAGTGAATGGAATAACAGCGGAATAATCCTGGAATGACCAGAGAACATGAAGTGACAACTTTTTTTTTTACTGTGGTGGTGGTGGTGGTCTGTCATAAAGGGATCTCCGACCGGTGATCAAAATCTAAAGATAATCGGTGTCTGTGTTTGACATTTATGACCACATTTGACATACATATTTAAGTTTGTAGTACAAGCGTGTGATAAATGACTTACTGCTGGAAACTGCTGGCTTTTTGATTCCCGCCTCCTGCTAGCCTGCGGGCTGCGCTGCTGTGAAGCTGTGAGCGAGGCAGAGCCGGCAGCCCCGCCCGTTGGAAACAGCGTGTGTGGACCGACCGTACCAACTTGAGGAATTGGGGGGGTGGACTATAATTTTTCAACAATTAAAAACACATTGTTTTGTATTTGCAGACTAACTTTTACGTTGTGGTTTTAGAAGAAAATACAGGTTTACTGATAGCATTTATACATTTACAATAAATTTTGTGGGGGGGGACAACTTTGTGTGAGGGGGGGATGCGTCCCCCCCGTCCCCCCTGGGATCACCGCCTATGCTCCTTCCCCACCAGAGAGGTGACATTCCATGTGCCAAGAGCCAGCTTCTGTAGCTGAGGATCAGACCGCCAACCACCCGTCACACACTGCACCTGACCCCTTTGGCCCCTCCCACGAGTGGTGAGCCCATGGGAAGGGGGACCCACGTTTCCTCTTCGGGCTGTGCCCGGCCGAGCTCCATGGGTGAAAGCCCGGCCACCAGGCGCTCGCCAATGTGCCCCACCGCCAGGCCTGGCTCCAGAGGGGGCCCCCGGTGACCGACGTCCAGGCGAGGGAACACGGTTTCCATTTATATAATTCATCATAAGAGGTCTTCGGGCTGCTCTTTGTCTGATCCCTCACCTAGGACCTGTTTGCCATGGGTGACCCTACCAGAAGCATAACGCCTCAGACAACTTAGCTCCTAGGATCATTGAGACACTCAAACCCCTCCACCACGGTAAAGTGACAGCCCAGGGAGAAGATAATCATATTTAGTTAAAGTGATTAAATAATTGGCTGGGTTGCTTTAAACTAACTATAAATACCTAACAGGTTCTTCCAAAACTGCAAATCAGGTTTAGTTAAAAAAACTATTATAAAACACCAGTAATGATAATTTTTTGGTAACAAATAATTTCTAAAACAGTTTAAGAATATTTTAATTTGTTTCATATAAATATAATCAGACTGTTTGCTCTGAAGTTGGTCTTTGTATAAACTGTTGTAATAACATTTTTGACCAGCAGGTGGTACTAAGATGCTCACTTTAAAACCACTGTCCTGTCAATCATTTGATGTCAGCGTAACGGAGGTAAGAGAACGTCAAACAACTCTTTGGTCAAAAGAAAGAAGCGCGCACCATGGAGGTGATTCCCTACAAGCCACAGCTGGTACTTTCGTGAAACTTTTGGAAAGATTTCCGGATTTTCCCCTCTTTACTACATTAGTTATTCAGATTAATACGCATCCTGAGAGGCGCGGTTCCCCGCTGGCTGCTACTAGCTTGTGTGGCTGAATTTATTTCCAGTTGAGAGGAGTTTACACGTTGAGGAAAACGCGGCAGAATGTTTCACGAAGAAACCACCACGCTACAGAAGCCACATTATGGAAGTAAGTCACTTATATTAACGAGTTTTAACGCCGACTGGGTAAAACTGAAGCTTTTGAGCGTTTGTTTGTTTGTGACACCGGATGAGTGTGAGTTAATGGGTGCCATCACAGGAATGAGCAGCAGGTGGTTCTGCTGCACCTGGCTGCACTTTTAGAGCTCCAGGTTCTACTCAGGGGGGTACTTTAGGACCTAAACGTGGTTGGAGCTCAGCCAGAGTGAAGGGGCTGAATTACATGTCGAAATCCAGAACATTTAAATGAAATAGAATCAAATAAGTCATCTGTCCTATACTTCAAAAAGTCCTCAAATGCACCATGGTGTTTTTACCTGTTTCTTTGATGTCATCATGTCTACACATAAGGCCCTTTCTCACTGGTTAACCATTAACCCTAGACTCCTGCTGAAATCTTCAACAGACTGTCAAGAATGTGGCTGATAAGATTTCCCGAAAGTAACAAAGTGCAGCTTTTTTAACCTGATCAATGCTGTCTTTAGAGTTTTTTTTTATCAGCTGCTCATTATAATCTGGAGCCACAGGAACAGTGTCACCCCACATATACGAGTGATTATAATTTGTTGCAAAAGCTGGATGTATTTTACTGTTCTTGCCTGACAACTTCTAGATTTACTCCAAACTAATTTCACAGCATCACTGTGGGACTAAATCAAAGCCACTCCATGGGACTTTTTGCACTGGAAATCTGCAGGTTCCTTTTGTTGCCCCCTCCTTAGAAAAAATAAAGGTTACGAGAAGGAAAAAAATAACCTGCAGCTAAACTAATGCATGAATCATAAACCCAGAGAGGACTCCACTTCAGGGATCCTGCCACACAGAAAAGCAACAAAAAGCCATCCTGATGGTTAAATATAACAATGCGGTCAGGCTCGTCCAGGAAGTGTGCAACTGAGTCAGTCAGTGGAGGTTGTTTATAATGGCTGAACTGGGACTGCCTCATATACGTCTTCGTCCATGTCATCTGCACAGCTGGTCGTCTTGGACGGCCAGATACAGCACTGATAGCCATGTATAAACATTTCCGCCAAGTGGTGAGACAGTCCTGTGTGTCTGTATTTGTTTTCATAACACTTGAGGATCGCACGGATAAACGGATGCCTTTACAGGTGGTGGATGAATGAACAGAATTCAAGAGTTTAGTGTAATTTCCCACAGATGAGCATATTTTAAACACCACCCAATGGAATTAAACATCCAAATTTGAGCCTCCAGGTCTAGGATTGATCCTCACTTGAGAGAAATAAAGAGATTGATTGGATTAGGGTGGATGGGGAGGTACAGCGAGGGGGAGGCCATTAAGCTGCAGGTAGAGGTCAACTCCCAGCAGATGTCACCTGTCCACCTGGGTACCCCACTTATCTCAGCCACCTACCATTTTTCTATTTGGAAATCAGCTATTATTAAACAATCTTTTCCTGGGGAAAAAATTTCCTGATGTGAGTTAAATCGTGTGTTTGAGCTGAAATTGGATGCAATTTAGATAAATGAATATTGCAAACCAACTTTAGTGTAACTTTTCTTACTATTTGAACACTACTAATAAACAAAATGCTGATTTTATGAGTACGCAATATCACACGAGAGGGAGTGCGTTGTTGCTGAATATCAGCACTGGTGTGATGCGGCCTCGTGCTGTAGATATCACACCAGTGCTGATATTCAGCAACAACGCACTCCCTCTCGTGTGATATTGCTTTTATACAACAGTTCTACCTGCTCATTTTATTCTTATAACAACAATAAGCAACAACAGATTATGATTTGTTCATTTATTTAATCGTTTGTCAGGCTCCACCACACAAATAGTCCCAACACGACACGGAGACTCAGACAAGGCTGTTGCTAGGCAACACAAACATTTTCTACAAAAACGGTTAGAACGCCTGTGCACAGCGGAGTGATAATGTTTGTAAACCATCCCAGTGCTGTTATAGTCCAATATCAGCACTCTTGGAAAGTCTCTTGACCAATCAAATCACTCGGTCGGAACAAACTGTTGTATAATGTTAGATAATGTCACCTCGGTCAGAATTGTAGAAATATTGTGTTTCAAGCAGTTTTTTTTACATTTATCTAAAAAAATCTTAGTGATTTCTATTAATAAAGCAACTCTTCAACTTCATTACAACTAAACAAAAAGCTCTCATCACAGACGTAATCACAAAATGAAAAAATAAGGACGAGTTTGAAGCCTCTTGCTTTGTTTTTGCAGCCATCGAGGATGACGAGCGACTGTCGGCAGAGGAGATGGATGAGAGGAGGCGACAGAACATCGCTTACGAGTACCTGTGTCACCTGGAGGAGGCCAAACGGTACGTTGCTTAATACAGATGGTTAAATAAAACACTTAATTTTTAGTGTTTGCCACCCGGCTCATTAACACCACGTGCCTTCGGTTTGTTTAATCTTCAACCCTCTTTGGGTTTAATGAGTGTTGCTGCAGGGAGTGGCTCAGACATGAACACATGGAGAGAGAGTTGAGAGGGATGTGCACGTTAAACGGTTTGATGCAGCATCAAGCTGGAAGCAGACACATCCTACATATCTGTGAAGAAGCTGTGAGTTTCAGTTAATGAGCTCTAGCTGTTTAAAGCTGAAAACAAAACATAAACGGCTCAGATTAGCAGGCAGCAAACATCTTAACGCGGCTTCACGAGGAGCCTGAGCACGCTCTAAACCACTTCCTGTCTTCTTCACAAGAGCATCCTACATCACAGGAAGGAACAGGAAGTGTGATCATGCCTCCTCTAATCCTCTGATTTTTCTGACACCCTTATCGTGCCATCTCATTTCCTCTGGATTTAACAGTATTCCACTATTAGGATTGTAAAAATCCACCTTCCATTTTGGCCTCCTGCTTCCTTCCTCCCTTTCACTACAGGTCACCGTTTTGCCTGCTGAACTCTTTGACACCTATATGTGATCTGCTTTCGTCTCAGGATAGGAAGGGTCTACACGAGCTAAACTGAGCAGATTCAGACATCCATCATACTCACTTCTAGATTATGACACTTTTTATAGAACGCCTCCAAGCCTGTAGCTGAATGCCGGGCCTCACAGGAAGGTTCACCTGCACACGATCTCTTTCAAATGTCACTTTCACTTCTTTGCTTCTTGTTTTTTCATTTGTTTCTATAAATTGTGGGGTAGAACCTGTGTTCTGTGAAGTGTGCTGAGCTAAATTAGGATTAAAGTAGACTTCTAATAAAGCTGTAAACCACAGGGAGCGGGGGATTAGGTTCAGGTCTAAAGAAGTCAAAGGCCTTTTCTATAAAACAGGATTTATAGCCAGCAGGCTCCTTTTGCCATGGTAACCTACTGTATGGAGGATTTGCTGACTGTTGCAGAAAAAGCTGCTAAAAGGTAAAAAGTCTTTCTAAAACATCTTATTATAAAGAGAATGGTAATCTATGGCTGTTATTGACATAATTGATAACACTTATGGTATTCGTCCATTAACACAAAAGAATGTGGGGCGGCGAGGTTCCAACTCTCCAGTAGTAATTCAAATTGCTAACACCAGCATACAAAGTCCGAGATGGTACGGCTCCCATCTACCTGAATCCTCTTGCAAAGGCTTACGTCTCGGCACGGCTGCTCCGGTCATCACAGGATCATCGGCTAGCAGTGCCTACACCACGCTCAGGACAATCCAGACTCTTCTCATGCATCATTCCACAAATGTGGAATGACCTTCCAAGCACTACCAGAACAGGGGCTTCCTTTTCAATTTTCAAGAAACTCCTGAAGACCCTGCTCTTCAGAGAGCATCTTCTTAACCAGCACCCTCCCTGCACCCGTCCCCCTCTCTACTGTCCACTCCTTGTTCCCTACTCTCCATGACTGATGTCAAGTTGTTCAATTCAATTCAAGTTTATTTATATAGCGCCAAATCACGACAAGGGTCGTCTCAAGGCACTTCACATAATAAACATTCCAATTCAGGTCAGTTCATTAAGCCAATCAGAAAAAATGTTTCCTATATAAGGAACCCAGCAAATTGCATCAAGTCACTGACTAGTGTCAGTGACTATACAGCAAAGCTCATAATAAGAAAGCATAAAGTGACAGTGGAGAGGAAAACTCCCTTTTAACAGGAAGAAACCTCCAGAGAATCCCGGCTCAGTATAAGCAGCCATCCTCCACGACTCACTGGGGATCAAGAAGAATTGTTATTGTTGTTGTTAGCCTCAAGGGCAACATGCCGATTATCACTTGTAAGTCGCTTTGGACAAAAGCGTCTGCTAAAAACATAAACATAAACATAATTCTTACAGAGTGTGAATGTTTAATGATGATTTATATTTTAATGTGTCACCCACCTGTAATCTACAAGGTCTAATTCACATTTCAGCACATAATGATTACAATTCCTGCATATTTCCTTATATTAATAAGGATTAAAAAATATTCTCTCCGAGAGAGACGCAGCAGGAGAATGGCCCGGTGGAAGCTGCTCTGGAAAACAATCTAACTTATTGGGTTTTTCTCTAGTCATCAGTGGCCATAAGCTTGGGGTGCAGCAACAGCTCTCCTGCTTAAAAAGAGTGCTGGGGTGTTTTGGTACAGATGATTCCTGTTTGATGGAAAATGCTGTAAAAGATTTTTTTTTAAGATGTTTGCAGTAGAGTTGCACAGATTCAGATTTTGCAAGCTGATGCAGAGGTATCTAAAACAACTATAGTTACATGTATTTTTTTCTTGTTGGCATGAAAAATAGGATTCTGTTAGGAAATCTACATGGGATATCTACCATGTGGGAACAGTTTGTCAGCAGGGATGATTAAAGATTAAAAAATGAAGCCAATCATTCAGAAAATTGATCTATTCTGATCTTTGGACTAGAAGTGAGCCACACCATGGCTGAGCTTCAGACGGCAGGTTTTGGAGTCTTCCTTCCTAGTATTTGGATGTCTCTCCTTGGATTGGATAACAGCAGCATGACTTCACCACTGACTTGCAACTCTGATGTTTGATCTCCACAGATAACACAAGATTGAAGGAGTTCTGCTGTGTGGTGGAGATGCTAATGCTAACAGTTAGCTTCTACTAGTCCACACGTTGATAAAAAAAAAACAAGTTGGTCAAAGTGGTTCTTACATTTTATTTAATGAGCCATAAGGCGTGGGATTCCATAGGAAATAGGAAATCCGCCTCACGGATCGGGGGTTATTTAAACCAGAAGATCGGATCTTTTTAATGCAGAGATTATGTAACCGTTACGTATTCACTCAGAGACGACAGAATAGAGAGAGTCAAGTTTAAAAGTTAAGAATTTTATTACTAACAATTAAACTAGGCTTATTTAAGAACTAAGTGTATAGTGTGACTAAAAATGGATGAGACGGTGAATGGATGACGTGTGATGTAAATCAGAACCAGCAAATCCGGAGAAGCGAATAGTTCTGACAGGAACTGAAGATGTTGGTTTGGAGTAAGCTTGGGTAGTTTCAGAACCGCATGAGACACCATCAAGTCGCGCCTACCTGCCTGGTGGAAGTCCTCTGGTGAGATCAGGAATGCCGAGGTCCAATTGGACCCTCTCTGGACACCGAGCTGGTAGAAGAGCCGCAGTTCCGACCAGACCAGTCTCAAGTTACCTCCGGCACACGACTCTTTTCTTGGCGTCTGTTCAGACCCCACCTGGGTCGGTGGAGCTTTTATTCTGAAAGGAGCTGTTGTCGCGTCCAGTTGTAGCGACTGGATTTCTCAGCTTGTCGTGGTTCTTTCGGTTGGAGAGTTAAAGGTCAGATTGGCCACTCCGAGGCTTGCTCTGGAACGCTTTGAACTGGCGTTAGAGCTGACGTGGCATCTGTTTTATACCTCGGATGTTATGGTTTATTGTCCAATGAAAATGACCAAACCCCGTCAGAAGCACACCTCCGTCACATCTGTAAATTCTGATTGGATTAGTGAAAGAATGTGTTATGTCCTTTTAACACTACGTGAAATGAGTCCTGTTGGAACATTTAAAGTTACATTACGTCATTTCTAAGATCATAATAAAATAATTAATATTTTAATTTCACAGGTTGGTCACATCTTATTATATTGACTAACATTTTGATGGATTAGCTTTATTAAAATAGAGTTCTTTGATTAATTAAAAGAAAAGAGTTCATTCTTCTTTCTTCTGTCTTCATGCTGGAATGTAAACAGAATGGAAGCGAATGCATGACCTTGAGGCTGTTTCATGCGCACTGGCACTGTGTCAAAAGGAAACCGCTGTTAGGGTAGAAATGGCTCCTTCATCACGTTACACGGTGAAACACAGTAACACACACTCTAGTTAATAAAGCAACATTACTGACCTCAAATCATTGCCCTAAACAGTGGATGTGACTTGATGACAAAAGTAATCTGTAAATAAATAAGAAATAAAACCAGATGCAGCGGTTTGGACAGATGTGCAGACAGTTATTTCACTCATAGGCTGCAGTTTAAGTTAGTAATGAATAACGCTGAATATACTCAGAAACTTAGAGCTTCATCTTAAATAAACACAGCTGATACACACACCCTCACACAGACCAAACGCAAGCAGAGAGGGTTCTAAAGGAGACTTTGACCTGTCACAGGAGTGTAAACAGCTGATGATTTACACGTGGAGCTTCTCTTTACCATGTTACACACCTTTGCCTTCCACACATGTTGTTTCTCATGTGCAAATAAAGTTATGGGATTATGTTTCTGATAGAGTCCCAGCCCACGCTCTAAACCTTTGATTCATATTGTTGTTATAAGATCTGAATACAAAATACATCCCTTCAACTCCAGATTAAAACTGCAACTTATTTTCTGCATCCTGTTTTTGTCCTCATTTTATTCTGAAGGTGCTGACGGGAAGTCGTGGTCTTTATCTCCACCGCTTGGGAATTTTCCTCAGGATGTTGGTTTTCTGATTTTTATTCATCAGATGCCCGCGTGACTTCTGTACGAAGTTACACTCCTGTTTACTTGCATGTTTGTTTTGCCTCAGTCGATCAGACATTTCCTAGGTTTATGATGAGGAGGAAGACGTGCGCCACTAAATATCTGTTTTACCATCTCAACTGCATGATTTTCATAAAACTGACTGAAATGTCATCATTGATACAGGATCATCAGATGTCTCACCCCCAGGCACACATACAAACTCATGACCAGCAAGACGAAGCTACGTGACGTCAAATTCCAAAACGCATAAAACATGGTGCTGAACGCAGAACAGGGACGCTGACTAATGAAGCGTTAATGTGGCAAAGACCTGTTCTCCAGAAAGCTTTTGTTTACCACCGTGGGTCACAAGTTGGACAATGACAGGAAGCCCTTTTATTTTGGATGGATGTAAACAGAAGAACTACTCTGTCCTGTTTCAGGGGACAAGTCTCCCTTTGTTTTAAGTACAGGAAGTGAAGTCTCACCGGAGTAATGTGTTACCTACTCAGTACTATATCTTATATACATTACTTACATGGAGGAGAATTGTGTATCAGCTAATATTTAGCATTAAAAAGCTGCTTTTCTGATTGTAGCATAAACCAGTAAACAGAGCAGGACTCTTCTTCCCAGTTAGTCGGACCAGCTTTATTCCTCCGGGTGTATAATCTACACACTTTGCTGGGTTTGCTTTGCTTGGTGCACCTTTAATATGCTGACACATGTTTTGTCAAACCGGATCGTTTGAGCATCCGTGCAGCTTTAATTAATCTAAACAAGGTGTCATCAGCGTAGATGTGGGAGGAGGAAGGTTTTATTGGTGTTAAGTGTGAAGGGAGGTAGGATAAAACACCAAAATGCATCAGAAGCAAGTTTGTTTCCCATGAGCTTCTTGTTTGTTTTCTGTAGAGATTAAATCCAGTCTCAGTGTGATGACCGACTTTAAATAAAGTTTTCAGGAAGAGAGTGATGCCGTCTGTAGATGGAGAGGTAATGTGTACAGTACAATGATTCAGCGTGTTCATAAATCATTTACTAGTTTTTATTTTTTGGAAGAGTCCAAATATTTCAGGGAAAAGGATAAAATCATATTTTTCCAGTTGGACTTTAAGCCATTTTAGCTCTAGATTAAAGAAAGGGTGTTAAATTAGCTTCGTCGGGCTGAAATGTGTCTGCAGCCTCCTTTCTGAAGCATGTAAGACTCCCACATGGGCATTGCCTGCAACAATGCCCCCTTTCCTTCTCAGGGAATGACATCTTCAAAACTCAGTTTAACCTTTTGAACTAAATTAGTAAATATGATCTCTTCTGATCCTTGTGGCCCAGTGTTTTCTGATTTACAGCAAACCAGTGTTTACCCTTGGAAAAAAGCTAAAGTGATTAGCGAGCCATCCACATTAATCTTTTCATTTGCAGCTTTGTTGGCAGCAGCGTTTAATCCAGCAAAGTTAGAGGTATTACAGACTGAGTTCCTTTTGCACTAAATCCAGTATCGAAGTGTTGCATACATGCAGGCATTCAGCCACCAAATATCTTTGTGCAGATATCAGCTAGCAGAGTAAACACACTAGTGACCATGGTGCTATTGGGGGTGGGGGAGAATTGCAAATTTTATGCTTTCAAGCATTTAATCTAAAAATGTGTATAGTTAGTACTTTTTAAAATGGTAATCCCTTTTATTCACTTTTCTCATGTTTTACTCCAATGTTGCAAAATGTTTCTTTGACAACCCCCCTGTTGTGGTGTGTTTTTGCTCATTTGTGTCCAGGTGGATGGAGGCCTGCTTGGAGGAGAACTTGCCCCCCACCACAGAGCTGGAGGAAGGTCTTAGAAACGGTGTTTATCTTGGAAAACTTGCCATTTTTTTTGCCCCGAAACTGGTGTCTCAAAAACGGATATATGACAGAGATCAGGCTCGTTACAAGGTAAATGCAGCTTTATTGACCTCGTTCATGTGATATATTTGAATTTTGCGGATTACATCACAGTCTGCAGAAGTTTCAGGCACTTCCTGTCAGTTTTTAAACAGGAAAAGGTGAAAGGTGGCGGGACAGCGTTCGGCCACACTGCAGCAAGCAGCTGCTCTGCTGAAACACATTTCAGTGGAATATTACAGTTGACCTTTGACATACATTACACAATCTTTATCAGAATTGAGTCATTAAAATATTTTCAGAAGCCGCACTTCGTGTTTATATTTATGAATGCACCAACTCTTTCTTTTAGATTTCTTCATAGTGATGTGGAGTTGTTTTTACATTTGCACTCCCGTGTTTATTTTCAGAGCAAAGGTTTACATTTCAGACACACCGACAACACAGTTCAGTGGCTCCGAGCAATGGAGTCAGTGGGCCTCCCTAAGGTAAGAAAGCACCTGACATTTAGACGTCACTTCTTTTGCTTTTACAAATGTTTATGTAAACGGATGACCTGCAGATTGAGTTTAGTCTGTTTCCAGATTTATCCAGCTCACGCCTACATATCAATGTTTACAAACAACACCCTGGGCTACTCATGTGTGGTTGATGAAACCTGAGTGTGTGTTTAGGCATATCTCAGGTTTTTGATTTAGGATGAAATGCCTCATGTTACATGTTTAATGGGAGTAATTATAAACACAAGATGGAAGCATTACTGTTTAATGCAGGTAAGGTAACACTTGGCGAGTTTTCTGCTTCTCACTCCTACTGGTTGAAAGTGGAGTTACAACTGTCATAAACAACCCGGCTGCAGCCTCCTATAGCTAGCAGTAACAACACGCTAATGCCAACATGAGCCAGCTGACAGAAAATAACTCAAAAAGTTAAAAAGATTTCCACACTTTTGGATATTATTACTTATTAAAATTATTACTTATAAGTCCAGTAGCAACAAAGCCAGGTCACCATCAGTCTGTGAATTTGTAGCCTCCTTCAGCTCCCTCAAACAAGTGTAGGCAGCACCGATGTTTACTTTGGTTTTAACTCTTTGCTTCACCCCAGTGTTCAATTTGACAAGAAATCTTTTTAGTTTTAGTCTTAAGTCTTTTGACCAAACATTGTTTTAATTTTAGTCTTATGTTAGTCGTTTAAAATATATGTATTTTAATACTGATTCAATAATCCTTCTGTAAAGGAAATGTTAGATATACCTACTGGACACTGTAAAGAATAATGAAAAATTCACGTTTCACACTTTGGATCAATAAAACTTCTTTTTATATGTTTTTTATAAAATTAAAAGAAAAACAATAAAATACCAAAAATGCACACTGACTGTTTGAAATTACGTCTCTCAAAATTAATAAACAAATCTGTATAATGTGCAGTAATATTTGTAAACATTACAGGAAATGACATCTTCAAAACATTAAAAGGTGTTACTCTAATAATGTAAGGAGGTAAACTATAGGCAAGAGTTGTTTTCAGGTGTTTAGAGTTTCCCTGCACTGTTTTACCAAGGTGAGATGCCTGAAAGTTTTTTCTGGACCACCTGAATGTTTTTTCTCACCAAAACTATTCAGAATACCGAATGCAGCTAATATCTGCTGTAGTTGAGCCACAAAAATGATGAAACAACCAGACGCGTCGTTCTGTCAGTTCGGATCGGCTGAGCTGCAGCAATCTACTCCTGACCTCACCCACTCAGGAAACTCATGCAGATGTGTATTCACCAAGCAAATACTTTTCAGATTGTCACATTTAATGCTTTGATTCCCAGCCGTGGATATTTTCTCATTTTAGATTTAAATTGTTCAACTGTTACCAGCAGCGTGTTCAAACTGCAGCTGGCTCTGAACTCTGATTGGTTCTTTTCTCATCTAGATCCCTGTTCCATTTGTTTATTGGCTCATTTGTCGTTCTTCCATTTTTTTCCGTTTTCTGATTGGATTTTCATTACTGTCAATTTTTGTTGTCTTCGTCAACAAAAATGTTCATCATTGTTCGTCATCATCTTTATCGATGTATACGTTTTAGTTTTCTTTACCCCTTTAGAACCCAACCCTTTTAAATTAGAAAACATATTGGAATAAATGCATCAAAATGTAGAAAAAAATAAAATGAAATGAATAAGAACAATTTTCAATATGTATAAATAGAATGTCACTTGGGGTTTTCAAACTTTAATATTTGACTCAAGAAGCAATTTTGCAGATGTTTGACTGTGGCACCTGTGTCACCACGGGTCCTTAAAGCTGCTTTCCGGAGTATTTCTCTTATCCAATGGCACCATCTAGTGGCTGACAAGCGTATCACACAAAAAACGCTGCTCCTCAGTTTTTTTAAGATGGCGACTTCACGTTTCTGTTTATAAATGTGCTTCTGTAGCCGACAAATGGAGCGAAAACACGTTGTTTTATGAATATTATTCTCATGTCATGTTGTGTTTTCATATATTTATATTTTAGAGACTTTCTTGTCCATGAAAAGTTCATCAACTCTGCATTAGCCAAGGTATTCCTTAAATATGAAGCATGTAAGCGGTAGTCTAACGCTATTGGTTAGTTCTGGTCGGCGCTCAGTTTCCTATTGCACGGAGCTCTGCCGGGCAGGGGGCATGCTTAGCAAAAAAAAAAAAGATTTATTGCTTATATTATATCACAGTTCATGATAAGATGATCACTTTTACGGATTTCTGACAAATCATACATAATTTCTGAAAGAGGAAAACTCCGAAAAGCAGCTTTAACTCATTCACTGCCAGCCGTTTCCTGATCGCTAACTGCCTTCGCTGTCAGCATTTCTCACTATTTTTTTTAAGAGTCACAGAACGTTGCATGCTAGGATGATGTCGACACCAAAACAACCAAAACAAAACGGAGACTCACCTCTTACATCAGGAAGAATCCGAGTGTTTTCAGCATTATCCGTTCTTTCATAATCCCTTGTCGAATTGTGATCGGCAGACACTTTTCCAGTTCGTGCCTCACTTTTTTTTACAGGAACGGCCCAAAACGATCTACTAACACATTGATGTTCTGCTTCCTGATCACATGACGTGTGACGTATGCGGATGAAGATCGGCTTCAGGGCAGAGATGTTTGTTCTCTCAGCGCGGGGGCTCGTTCCGATTTTCAAACAGTAAAAAAATGCAAATGACGACTTAAGTCGTCAATGGTAGTGAATGAGTTAAGGGTCAAGTTAGCAAAAATTAGTCAAGAAAAAAAAAAACCCAAATATTTCATCAACTAAACTGCTTCACCCTCAAGTACATTACTCTCTTCCTTTTACTTCCAGGCTCTGCCAGGATGCCAGCAAATTTTTTCTGCTTTTTATTCACAATCAGTGAAATTAAAATGTTAACTGGTAGGATTTATATTTGCAATTGACACAGTAAGCCTCCATTGCCATAAAGCAGGTAGACTACAACTGCTACGGGTGGCCCGAACCGTAAAACTGTTAAGTGTGAAGTTGCTACTAAGGACTTGGTGTTAAAACTATTTAGCGCTACTTAAAAAATGCTTTCGGAGGTTTGCTGCAGATTTTATGTAATTGTTTAATGTTTGTATTACATTGTGTTTGATTAACGTATCAATAATAATTAATAGTAATGATAAATAGTAAGACGTTCACACATACACATACAGAGCGTGGCCATAAAATGATTGATTAAAGAATTTCTTTAGTGTTGCAACACTTGTTTGTTTTGAGTTGGATCCATTTTTCACTTTGCTCTAAGAACTAGAGACTCGATCCTGTTTTTCAATGAGTCTGATGTCGGACCTCTGTGGTGTTTTAACATATGAGTATAAAACCTAACCCGCTCCCTAAAACCTTTTCAGCAGTTTAAGTCCGATGAAGGATTGTCTAGGATTATGCCCATGTCATCAGGGAGGAAAACATCTGTTGATGGGGCAAAAAGAGCAAAAAACAGCTGACTTCAGTTTAGTTGCATATTTTGCTGTGAACTATAACATATGACCTAAAGTAGACTCCAGGCATGTTGGGTGGGTCACATTGGTTCCCCTTTTTTAAAAAAAAATCCCACACATCTCCAACAGGGTCAGTGTGGACACGTCATGTGACCTTTATCCAATAGTGGACACTGATCTCCATGCTAACAGGCCAAAGTCCAGTTTTCTGTTCACTTGACTAAAAAGTTATTTTCTGACGGCTACACTGCAGTTTATTCTCTCAACACCAGGAGTTTCTATCCTGCAACAGAAAACAACTCACTAACTGTCACAGCTGCATCAAACTCAGCTCTGTTGTAGTTGTCCAATGAAAACTATCATTTGTTTCCTTAGTTTAATCTCAGTGAGCTTTTTTGTCCAGCTAGTGAAATTTGCAAATGAAAAAGTATTGAAGGTGACTAACAGAGCAGTATAACCTCATTGCATCTTTTATGAGATTGCACAAAAGACCTCACAGAGCTGTCTCGTGGGAATAACAGGAAATGCACACATGTAAAACCTTTTATGGTAATTTGTTGACAAACCAGGGACTTTATTTTGACAGCTTCATCTTCCTGGAGGTGTTTTAATATAAAGTATTGAACACATTCTTAGGAAATGTTACAGTTCTTGCTCTTGTAATGCAAGTGTGTTGCTTTAACTACAAACATTTAAAAAAATTAAAGAAACCTCTGTAAAATAAAGTGCTTGGTGTGATGTAAATGGAACGATTACCCAGCACCTGCATGAAGCTTATAAAACACTTGATGTTAAGTTACGCCAGCAAAAAAAGAGCTGTTTTGGATATTTCTGGAGTTTTGCTGTATTTTTCATATGTTTCCGTTCAGAAAGACAAGCTGTATGATATATTTATGCCTCTTTTGCAGCTAAATGAAAAGTGAAAAGACTCCTAATGGTTTCTTCTTTCAGATATTTTATCCAGAAACCACTGATGTATACGACCGCAAAAACATGCCCAAGGTGGTGTACTGCATCCATGCACTGAGGTACGACTGAAAAGATTCCAAAACAGCTTCCTTATACGTCTTTTTTTTTTTCCACTAATGCCAAAATTTCTCTCATGTCTATGAAGTCTGACATCTGGTTGGAACGGAGCTTTGTGGCTTTTTTCTGAAGGTGTTAAAGGAATGTTGAGTCTGATTTCACTTCTTGAATAGAAACCTAAACTGGTGGATTAAGCTGCTACTGCCTGGTCTCTGCTGCAGATTTCTTCTAATTTTTACTGCTAAAATCAGGCGTGAACACTTTGATTTGAGCTGTTTTAGAACAACAGTTTAGAATGTAAACTTACAACATTAACGGTGACACTAAAAGGCCTGTTTAATCCTAAACTAATAGTTTAACATGCATTTTAACCAAGTTCTAAACTATTATATGTCTTTAAGTTTTATTATGACATGTAGATCGTTGGTTGAATGGTTTAGAAACGTTTGGAAGCTGGTGCTTGTACAGTAACCTTTGGCTTGATACTGGTGTAGCTTTGTTTAGTTTAGGTGACTGAATGAACGCAGCGGTGCATTTTTGGCCCTTGCTCATGCAGTCATCCAAACCCAGATTCGGGGGAGTGGTTATATGAGCAGCCGGGATTGTTTTCTCTGTTGTCGCGTTTCAGTCAGGTCCCGGGAGATTTGGTTTCCTTCCCTGCTTATGCACACACGTGCACTTCCTTCCTGCAAGCCCCACAAAGTCGAGAGGCAAAGCAGTGGGTGCTTCTGCACACAAACTGGTCAACAACTGGAGACGTGTTTGTTTGTGTGTTTGTTTTTCTGTCTGGAAAAGAGGTGTTTGCTCCCACATTTGTCAGGTGATTGTTTGTAATCCTGCTGTTTTTTAAAAATTGCCTGAGTCAGCTGTTGCTGTCATCATCTCAGTCAGCTGCCTGCGTGTCTGGACATTACCCTTTGAATAGACACTTTTCTGGTGTGTTTGAAGCCCACTGTGTCGCAAGGACAGAGTGCGTCTTATGTTTACTTACAGTGTGTTCAAAGAGCAGGACGGCCACCAGCAGCTCGGTGTAGAGCAGTGCTGATTCAAAAACCTCAATAAATATCTATAATTTATCACCACTTATCAGATACCTGCCAGGATGAAAGTTTAATGAAGTTTCCAGCCACCTGCTTGTTGCATTCATTATAGTGTTGAAATGAATCTGCTGAGAGGAGTCCTGCTGTCTAATCTGAGCTACCAGCACCCCCATGTGGTGAAGGTTTAAGCATATGGGAGAAAATAAAAGCATACATGGGTTCTTCTTTGTGTGTTGCATGTTAACTTCTGAGTTATTTATTTTTTAACGAATCCTGTGTTCTGTATGGTTTGTTTCAGCTTGTACTTGTATAAACTTGGAATTGCACCTCAGATCCAGGACCTGCTGGGGAAAGTGAACTTCACAGGTAACAGTTGTAGAAATCAGAAGTTTATTCAAATGTAAACAACAAATGAAAAATTTAGTGCATCATTAACTAAAAGGGTAGGTGTTGCCTTGGGGGCTGATACCATCGTGTGCATTTAATAGGTATCTTCTTTTGAGGACAAGTTGTTTAATTCTGGGGTTTAATTGAAAAACACAACAAATTTCAGTGTGTGCTTTCAGGCAGATGAGAAGAGTTGGTTCAAATAACTTTTTATTCTTGTAATATAAAATAAATCAAGCATTCAGATGGAAAACGAGCAAATTAGGAGTGGAATCTTTGACTTTCATTAAAAAAGTTAAACAAATACACTGGCTTTGGTTTGCAAGGACACTTGACAGATAGATAAAGCAAATAATAAATCATTATATATATATATATATATATATATATAAAATTGAATAAGAATTGAAAATGTTCATTTAGACAATGAAAATACTTTTCTTAAATATTACTGTTAGATTAAAAAAAGTTCACATGTTAATGTTGTACATTTGACTTTCACATGAGAGCTTCCTGAGTAGTCATGGTTTTAAAAAAATGAGTACAGGACATTATGGCAAAAATTGGTCAATCTGTGTACGTGACAACAACTTTACAAGCGCCTATTATGGTCAGATTAGACAACACCAAACAGTACACCTTGCATGAATCCAACACAGCTCACCATCCACAAAACACCATGCCTACAGTAAAGCATAGAGGTGGCGGGATCCTGATGTGGGGGTATTTCTCTGCCTCAGGGACTGGGGCTGTCCTTAGGGTAGAAGGAAAAATGGATGGGGCAAAATCCCATCAAATTCTTGGAGACCTACCCTCTACCAGAAAGTTGAAGATTGGCAGAAGATTCACCCGACAGTGATCCGACTTATACAGCAAGACAGCAAAGAGGCTGAAGGGGAAAAACGTGAATCAGAGCCCAGACCTGTAAAAATCTGTGAAGAAATTTGAAAACTGCCGGCCATCAACGACCACCATGCAGTTTGACCCAACTTGAACGTTTCTCAAGAAGAGTGGGCAAATATTGCTTAATATTAGGGGCTGCATGACTTAATTTTTTTTAAAGTCGACAGTCAAGTAAAGAAAATCGAGTCGTCAGTTGGTTTGCTGGAGTTTTTGACAAATAAAATTGCGCCCACATTTTCAAAGTTAAACACATCTCTTTTAACAACGGTAGTTTCTGCATCTATACTGCTCTGCTTTAGCCCTCTCCCCCCTCCCCCTGCGCAGCGGCCGCAAACTCACTGATGCGCCTGCAGCCTCTCAGAATTCCTGCTGCTCTGAACATTAAAATAATTATTTCATTTTCTGTTCCTCACTTCTGATTACCTTCAATGGTGTCTGTTTGTTGCAACCACCAGGTACAAAAACTAACATGTTTTTATTTGACTATTTTTCTGTCCTGCCTGTTTATTATCTTCCTGCATCTCCTCTCAGTCCTAAAGAAAAACTGCTATCTGGGTTCATATATATTCACCTCATGAGTTACCTTTGAACTGCAGTTCTAAAAGATCTACCAACCACAAAAAAACAGAGGAGTGCTCGCCGGCCGCATCAGTGAGGTGCGTCACTGGAGGACAAAACAGGTGATGCGCCCCGCTCCACAGCAGCGAAACGCATCAGGCACAAATAAAAGACAGAAAACATAAAAGGAAATGAGCAGACATGAACGATCTTGTGTTAAATTAGTTTTTGAGGTGGCGACACCTGATTTGATAATGTTACTGTGGCCGTGCTCAGGACGCCGATGTCTGGAGCGCGTCAACAATCAGAGCTTTGCATGTGCACGCTGGTTAAGGTTAAGATGGGGGTGAGGGGAAGGTTAAATTGCAAGGGGGAAAAGGTCACAATTTGGTTAAATGTCCGTTTTACGGCGGGTGTCATTACGGTTGCTCTGGCACAGCGCGTCGCCTCCTCCTCGATCTCGACGCGCAGGGGCTCGTCACCTGCTGTCTTCTCAGAGGACTGCATCTTGTCTGTCATTATCACCTGACAGCGACTAGTCGATGACGGGCATAACAAGTCACTACAGAGCAGTGAAGTCGACTAGTCGACTAGTTCATACAACCCCTACTTAATATAGATGTGTAAAGATGATAGAGAAGTATCCCAAAGCTCAAGGCTGTTATTGAGATTGTGGGGTGGGGGTATGGGATTGGGATTCTTTATCAATTTCAGTATTTATTTTTTTTAAACCTTTCTGAACTGTTATTGTGATATTTGTCAGTTGAATGTTTTAAGTTACATTGAATAAGTAAAGCTGGTGAATGACGTTTTTTGAGATTGACACGTGACAAGAATAGGTGACTGTGGTCATTTGCAACATGAGTCACGCTACCATTATAGATCAAGAGGGTTTATATGAGGATAGTCGGGGGAGGGGGAAAAAAGTATAACATCATAATTAAGTACTGTATCATAATTGTACTGCTGTTTTTCAGAGGAGGAGATAAGTAATATGAGAAGTGAACTGGAAAAATATGGTATTCAAATGCCAGCTTTCAGTAAAATCGGAGGTATCCTGGCCAATGAACTGTCGGTGGATGAAGCTGCTTGTGAGTCCTTGTCTTTTAGATCCTGATTTATTTTGTCATACTCAAAGTAACTAATTTAAACAAACTCTTATTTCAGTACATGCTGCTGTGATTGCCATCAATGAAGCCATTGAAAAAGGTCAGACATCCATAACAATGACTGCATTAAGTAATCCTAATGCGATGCTCAGGAATGCCCAGGAAGCTCTGGCTCCAGGATACCAAGATACTCTGAGCCAGGCTAAGGCTCGTAAACGGGATCAGTCCTCGGGGAGGGTAAGGAGTCTAAATGTCTACATTTTCAATGTTGTCCAGTTTTTTAATTGTTGAAGTGAAGTTTATGTTCTTGCAGCACTACTGAGTTTACCAGTGATCAGAAACTAGAGGTGTGCATAATACACAATACGGGGGAGACTATATGATAAATTCTACAAAAATCCAGATATTTACTATTTTTAACACTGAATTTAATTGGAAAACTCAGGCCATAAACTTCCAACACACATGGAGTGTTATCACAAGATCCAGTAAATGTTTCAATGTAGATTCTCAAAAATACATTTATAAACTGTTTTAAAATATTGATTCAGTGTCACAACACAAAATATTACACCATTTCAGTGTATTGATATTTTCTTACATATCTGTCAGAAACCCTGTTTTTGTTGATCAACACATGATGTTTAGTCATCAGCAGTCATCCTAAAGTGATGTCGTCTTGTTTACATGTTTGTCAACATTTTGTTTAAACAAACATGTTAAGGTTTTTCTGACTGGAGTGTAGTGATCCTCCAGTCCCTGCCACCACATTCCTGTCACTGCAGTGTCAGCTGTATTAACCAGAACATTAGACCTCCACACTGTCTGGCACATCTCCTCCCTTCATCTTTATAAGGACTGTACAAGCAGAGCATCACGTGGCTAACTACAGCTAAACTCGGCTAGAACATGCTTTCCGATACAAATGTTGTAATATTTTTTTTCTGTCTCTATTTGCCAGCGGTCCTCAGTTGCAACAGAAGAAAGAGATGTTTATGAGGAGCTACTGACTCAACAGGAAATCCAAAGCAGCATTGATATAGTCAACGGTGAGACAGTCACGTGATGCAGAGATGATTTACCAGAAGCACTTTGGATTGAACAACATTTATTAAAGTTCAGCCAAGTATACGAGGCATTGTCTTAATTGGGCATAAGAGTATTCTCTCCATCCTTCATTGATGTTTATTTGGGCTTTCCTTGTCTCCAGTCCAGACAGCAGTAAGACAGCTGAACAAAGCAGTGTTGGACCAAGATGAAGCTGCCCTGCTGTCTGCTCTCAGACTTGAAGCTCTGGCTTTGTTTGGTGTCCAAGAGAAGAACTGTCGTTTGTACCTGGAACACTTTACCGCCTTCAGCCAACAGAAATCAAAGGTGAACTGATCATTTGTTCGACCCAGACGGAGTGCTGCTCTTTGTTTTCTTCTGCAGCTGCAGTCTTACCCCTTACTAATGAAGCAAAATAACCAGCAGTAAACGGGATGAAACGAATAACTTGGTTAATACTGTAACTGCAAAGTTCAGTTGGGAAAACCTGGCATTAATATAGATGTGACTTAGGCTACTGACAGCCTCGCCTCTGTCAGTGTGCCCCAGGGAAGCTACATCGTAGCTCATCATCGTCAGTGTGTGAATGTGTGTGTGAATGGATGATTGATACACTGTGGTGTAAAGCGCTTTGGAGTCCTTACTCTGAGAGGCACTATACAAGTGCGGGTCATTTATCATTCACTTAACTTGTATAAATGATCCCAGACTTGGAAGTCTGCCTGGCGACAACATGTAACCATGCAACATAGCAGATCACATGTTGTTTATAAACCGTGTCGTTCATGTGAAAATGTTACTGCGATTATTTAGCAAACCCTTACAGGTCTGTAGTTGTAATTCTGTTTCACTACTGCGCAGCGCCTGATAAAATCCATTTAAAGACTGGGTGTGCCTTGGTAAGCCAGACGCTTTGCTAATGAGGACACACTCCTCCTTTGGTCAAAGAAAACAGTTATGTGGAACAGGCTTGCCTCACGTGACAGCGGCCGTCACGTCAGGTGAGGTAAAGTTGTATTTTATACAAATAAGTTTCTATATAGATGCATCCTTTTACTTTCTAAATTCTGTATATATTGGTTAAATTGTGTATATATTGGTTAAATTAAATATTTAAGCGAGTTACTACCTGCTAGCCACCAAAGCTGAAACTACTAAGCAACCATAGCTAACTGTTTTGGATCTAAAAACATTTGAGGTATAAGCCCGATAGCTACAATTAGCTGACTTACATTTAAACAGAAAATGTGCCCCCGAAGTAGCTGCCGTATTCTGATCTGCCATCGTTTAGAAAATATTCTGCTGTGTTCTGGGAAATTTTTGATGAAGGCAGCAAGACACCTCCGATGTGCCCATTGTCAGCTAGCTAAACGGCTAACAAACAGAGGACAGACTCCTTGGTAGCACATGGACACTGGAACACGCCTTGACGGTTCCTGATGATACATCTCCTAGGTATCTGGGGTGGGACCAAGACATCAAGACGAGGTTCCTTGACATTGAGAAACACACATTGTTTTGTAGTTGGCTTTTTCTCCAGAGTAAAGTTTATATCTGGTTTTATTTTGCGTATTAAACTTTAGTCCATGGAATATTGAATTCTGATAAAAACAAACAAAAAAACCCCCAGGCCTATTACATATTTAGACAAACTTGGTGAAGAAAAACAAAACACACCTCCATCTGCTAAAATGAATGTGTAATTCTCACACTGGAGCATGCTGACTAATGGGGTCTTACTGGTATCTTACTGGTCTTCTCCAACCTTTACACCACAGGATGGAGCGAGGTCTGTGCCAATGGGCAAAGAGGAGATTCAGAGAATCATCAGCTCTTGCAACGACGTTGCCGAGGCCGAGAAAAGAAGTAAGTACCTTTTGTTACTGTGTAAAACAATAATTAGTTGTAGGATAGAAATGCTAATGTCTTCTCAGTTTACAAAACACCAAGTACTTTAGGTCCTTACTACCAGACAGTTGGATTTAGTTAGAAAAACTAGTGTTTGTATTAATCTACTCAACAGAACATGAAGCTGTAGCACGGATCAATGCTGCCATTCGTCTTGGTATTGCCGTGGAGACGGTGGAGGAGCTGATGAAGCTTGAGGCACTACTACCAATCGTTTACCAAACCGCTGCCAACCTTTACCAGGCCGAGCTTTTCAGTTTACAGCTGCAAGGAGGACGGGTGAGAAGACGGGTTTCTGTTATCAGCCAGAAGCACAGAACACAACAGGTAACGGGTGCTGCTTTGTGGTTTTTAGTCTGGACTGAGTCACGAGGAACTCAGTGTCGCCGTGGAGATGCTGTCCGCTGTTGTGGTGCTGAACGAGGTGCTGGACACAAAGGACCTGCAGGCTGTGATTGAGCAGCTGACTGATTCCCCTCTGGGATTTACCAACATAGACCACGACAACCTCAACAGGTATGGCTACTGCTTACATGGAACTCCTGAAGAGCTAATCTGTGCTTTCCTTTCATTTGTTGACTGTAAATGAAAACATTTCAATAAATAAAAGTCTACAAACTGACTCTTGGGCTGCATGTTGCAAATTCCAATTCTACCAGATTTACACAGTATGTCTGTGTCCCTTACAGTATGCTGCACAATTCTGGAACCCGGGTTTCATTTTTATTCGTGGTTTTTAGTGGTTGTAGATTACAATATCGGCTTACTGCTTGTGTGTATGCACTCGTGCTTTTGTTACTATTTCACTTCAATATTTCTCTAAGTGTATGTGCTGCTGTAACAAGTGCATTTCTATTGTATTCTAGTTTTTTTACACCTTTGTTGTTTTTAAAAGGTTTGCTACATAATCTGTCAAACAGTTTTATATTTAATACGTTTATTCGAGTATGATCATGTTTGTTTACTGTTGATTCATTTAATCAGGTATGCTGACATGCTCATCAAAGAGCGAGCCGAGACTCTCACCAAGGGCCAGGAGTTCCTCTCGTGGAACGATGTTCAGAAATGCATCGACACCATTAACATTCAGGTCCACGAGGAACACGAACGTAAGGACCTGGTCTCTTTTTATTAGTTGTTATTATTAATACGGTTAAGGAAAATTTTTTTAATTCTAGTTTTTATTTTGTTGTCATTGGCGATGGTAACCTTGGTAAGAATGTTATACGGACTTAAGCTGGTTTACATTGAACATGTTTTATTTTGTGCTGTTTGTTAAATGAAATTAGCAAACCATGGGCCAAAGCCTCCCAAGTCAGGATAACTGAACATAACTGGGTTATTATTTGACTGATATGTTTTGCTTCTTCCATTCCAGGCATCATCGCCATAGCTGAGATCAATGAGGCACTTAACTCAGGAGATCACCAGCAGACACTTGCAGCCCTGCTGCTACCTACAGCCAAGCTGACGGGAGTGAACCCAACCACAGCCAAACACTACCACGATGTCCTGCAGTACACAAAATGGCTTCTCTGCCAGGTAATGCAATATTTTATTTCATACTTTTAGACATTTATAGAAGAAGAAAAACCCAAGACTTTTGTGTCCTAAAAGTGCAAATCATGGAAAAATCAAATTCATATTTCAGATTTTACTTTTACATCTGGTTGGTGTTAAACTACAGAATCCTTTTTATAACATTGGTTAAATATGTCTGCTTTGTTTATTCACATTTTTACAAAAACATGTTGAGAAATCAAACCAGGAAGGATTTTAACCACTTCTATTTTACAACGATGTGCAGCATGCTGGCACCAGTGTTGCTGCTGCTTTTGTTTCCAGTGGTAAATCTCTACTCTTTCCCTGTTTTTTTTGTGTAAAATTAGGAAGTTTCATGTCATTGCTGCTGGTCTCTGAGGCTTTCTGTGAAGAGAGATGAATTGTAGCTCAGAGTCTGCAGTTTTGGAAATGAGCATAAACAGGAAGGGGTCCAAGCAACTATGAAAACAGCAGAGACACACTGCTAATCTATAGTATCCATACAGTCTGTCATCCCCACTGGAATACAGGCGGATGTAGTGGGCTGCGTGCAGGATGCCACTGGGACAGAAACACACCACAAAAATGACGAAAACCAGAGTGCTCACCCTGACGAACGGCCTCCAGTCATAAGCACTCTGTCCTAGGTGGTGAACCACTGCCATGTGAGCAAAAATACAAACACTGAAGGGAAACAGGAAGCCCAGAAAAACCAGCATCAGCCTGTAAGGCACCAGTGGGGAGTGGCTGCTTTCTTCTAGAGGAAGTACATCATGACACGTAGTGATCCCCAGCTGGCCGACATGGTAGCTCTGTCTGACCAGCAGCTCGGGAACGACAGCGGCTCCAAACAGAAACCAGACCACTAAACACATCCACACTGCTAGTGTGGATTTCGCCATCCTTCTGTATAAAAATGGTTTGACCACAGCCAGGTAGCGCCTCAAACTGATGCATGCTATCGTCTGAGCAGAACAGTAAATGTTCCCGTAGAACAACGCTGTTATAAGTCGGCAGGAGATTTCACCAAATATCCAGTTGTTGCCACTGAAGTGGTAGTGAACACGCAGCGCGAGTGAGAGCAGGAGGAGCAGGTCGGACATGGCCAGGTTCAAGTAAAGAACCACCGTGGACAAAGACTTGGATCGGAGTCTGACTCGGAGGAACGCCAGGATGTAGGCGTTTGATGGGATACCGATGAGCATGATGAGGATGTACGATGAAGGTATGACCCAGGTGCTGAGGATCCCCGTGGAGTATTCTGTCACCGGGCCCTTGTGGTCTACCTCCACACAGGGCCCTGAACAGGGGGGGAGCAGGACGGTCCGCAGCCTGGTGTGGTTCTGTTTAGAATACGATCCTTTAAAAGTTCTTGGTGACAAAGTGTTGCTTTCATTCCTGGTTTTGTTTCCTGTCAAATAAACAAATTAAACCATCATTTGAAGCTATAACAGACATTTAAATGTTATCTGCTGTTCTAAAAAGTTATTTTTTCCCCTAAAGTGTTTACAATAGACTTACCTTCATGCTGACTGGTCTGCACCGCCATCAGACAAAGGAGTAGTCCAAAAACAGGATCAGCCATGTTGCCTTTAGACAGACATCTCACGGTTTTCGAGGGTTTGTGTCCTCAGGCTTCCACATGTTGTTCGCTTTTGTTCGTCTCCTGGCTCTGAGTTGGAACTGATGATTGTTTCCTCCAGCGCAGCTTGTTGATTGTGCGGACAGGGCTGTTATCTGCATGTGATGCAGGGACCGGGCTTCCTGTTCAGGCCTGAAAACTGAATTCCTTCTGCCTGCGTCAGTAGCCTCCCCTCACATACACACACCCACACACACACACACACACACACCCACACACACACACTGGGGATGTGTGTGTAGGGGTGACTGCTCTGTGGCTCACTGGGAGCTGTGATCTGTTGATAATTTTAACATTACCAACTTTAATTAGGTTTTGGTGTCTAAAGTGTTTTTAATGGTTTTGAGCTGTTTTCTGTTGTTTGTGCCTAAATGTTGTTTATTTGAGTTTCATTGATGTTTTTTTTTTTCAGGATACCACTTTGTTGTTCTTCCAGCAATAAAACTCACACAACATTACACAGAAATCCTAAAGTCCAGACCGCTGTTTGGGCTGCTAATGTGTTTAAGTTGAGTTTAACTGTAGACAACAAAAGCCCTAATGTAGGACTTCTCAGGGTCGTTTAATGGTCACTTCCTTCCTGATGTCTCTGTGGTCAAGGAAAAGCCCCTGAACTCAGCGGAAGGCTCTAAAATTAGCCTGAGAGCGAGCGCGGTGGTCATGCTGTGTAAACATTGTTCCACTGTTAAAAAAAAAACAGATTTGTTTTCCATCTCACTTCTGCTGCTGTGGTTTTTGTTGTTGCAGTAACATCACCAACCTGTTAAGAGTTGCTTTATTCACTTGTGTCAGTAAATATAAGGTTTTCTAAAGTTTCTCTGGAGTTTTTGATTTAATTAAAGAAAAAACACACCTGATGTATATAAGGATGCTGGTTGATTCTTGCAGCTGCTCATGAGCAGCTTTTCTCTCTTTCCTCTGACAACTGAAGGGATCTTGTGTTCTTATTTGATTGCAGAACTCTGGTGATGAATCGGCGGTGCTGTGGCTCGACCAAATCCAGGAGGCCATAATAACAGCCAATCAGGATGAAGAAGAGGCTCTCACAAGTACACACTCAAAATTATGGTTTCCTCTTGTTCACCTGAGCCAGTTTAGACCATTAAAGCAACTTTTATTTTATTAGTAAATATTTAGAATTTTGTCGTCTGTTTAAAAAATGAATAAATAAAAGAGAATAATCATGTTTAAAAAAAGCTGTTTTTCACACTATTCTTGTTATTTGTGTTTATCTGCTGTTTTAATTAATCTTTAATTAATCTTTATCTATATTTGTGAACAGTTTTTTGTGTCCTTTCTTACATAGTTTCTGTTTTATTTTCACTTTTAATCAACACTTTTGTTATTTATGCTTTGCTAGTGGCTGGGTCTGTAGCTCACATTAACACAAAAGTGACTGAAGGGGACTCCCAGAACACCTTGCTGGCTTTGCAGACTCCCAGTGCAGGACTCAGAGCCGTGCATCCCGAGTGTGCAGACAGCTACCAATACGAACTGGCACAGAGACAAACCAGTAAAGCTACTGAAGGTAACTGGTTACAAGCATCATGTGGAGCTCGTTTAATAAGAACCTATGCAGGTTTGAGTACTTCTGACATTGGTTAGGAGCTTGTTATGTTGCCTAACAACTTTGAGCTTGACTTCAAAATATTACACAGTCAACTAAATTAATCTCTAATGCTTTAACCAAATACAAGTTAGCAAGTATTTTGCATACGAGTTGTTCTTTTGCCTCAGACATAACACATCAATCTGATTCTTACCGCAATTTAACATCAAATCATTTTATTAACTCAGATGAACCCAAATGAATCAGTACGTTATACACTAGATGCTTTTAAAAGTGAGATTGTTCTGCCTTCCTGCAGGCAGCAGTGATGGTTTGTGGGTTAAACACTGCATCAAGGACAGATATGACTATTATTATAACCTGGAGACTGATCAGGGCTCCTGGGACGAACCTGAAGGATTTGAACATAAAGCAGACCAGCTCAGCAAGGATGAGATCCAGGTACCACTTGAAACGTCACATCACGATGCCGTAAACAAAGAAAGTGTTGTTGTTGAAACTGACATGTTTAACTTCCCAGAATGTAGTCAACAGTGTGACAGCAGAATATAACAGGGAGCAGCTCTGGATAGCAAACGAGTCCTACATCGTCCAGCTGCAGGCGAGGATGAGAGGTTACCTGGTCAGAAAGAAGCACGCAGCGAGGATGGAGTATCTCCGTCAGCAAGAACCTCATGTAGTCAAACTGCAGGTACGAAATGTGTGCCTCAGCGGGTGGAGAGGGTGAATGTGTGTGTCCATAAGTCCACAATCCTGGACAAAGAAAATGCAAACTATGTTTTTAATGTCCTACATTCACTTTGAAGCACATCAACAATTACGAAGATGCTACAAAACTATTTTGAACACTTACAGTATCGTTGCAGATCCATAAAGAGGAGTGAAACAACCTCACATTTGTACATACTCACACTTGTATTGTCTTTTTCCTCCAGGCTTGCTGGAGAGGTTACAAAATGAGGAAAATCTACATAAGCAGGATGAGTTTGCTTCAGAAAAATGTTGAAACTGTCATCAAGGTGATTATTAGTGTAATAAATATTATTTAAATATAAGAACAGAAGCTATTTTTATCAGTTATAGAATAAACTTGTTTAAGAACCTTTTGAAATCATTAAAATCCTGAGATTTGTAAACGATTTGTAAATAAACGTGTTTACACATAATTCCCGTGTTAAAGACCTGATGAAGATGATGTGGGTGTTTTCAGCTCCAGTCTCTGGTAAAAATGTGGAAAGCAAAACGAAAATACAACCAGAGGCTTCGGTTCTTCAGAGAGCACGTGAGTGAAGCTAAAATAAGCTAATGCTGTTGTTTTGTTCTGCTCACTGCTGCTTGTGTGTTCTTATTTAGGAGAAGGAAATAGTGAAAATCCAGGCTTTCCTGAAGGCAAACAAAGCCAGAGACGACTACAGAACCTTAAGTGAGTCAGAGCTGAGTGAATGTTGTGATGTTTGTGACTTAAAACCAAGATCATAGGAAACCATGGGTGAAATGTTTTATCTGGTTTAAAATGGTTCAACAGTAATTTGTATGACTGAAAAGGAAAAAGAAAGAAAATGATCTTTTTAAGGATGGACAATATATTGGCATCAACATCGGTATTGGCTGATCTTAGTCATTTTTTAACATATCGGTACGATAAATAAAACCAGCCCGATATTAACAACCGATATTTTTTTCCATTGTTTTCCATTTGTTTATCTGTTTCAGAGGGTGAGGGGGGTGATATGTATTTGTTTAGTCATGGGACAGTGATTGTAATCATCGCAGAAGCGTAAATGTGTGTGTTGTGCGTACATAATGTAAATTCAGCTTTAATAATTTATATTCTATACACAATCTGCTGATCTTGTAAGCATTAATGTATTTACACTGCTCTCAAAAATTAAAGGAACACTTTAAAGAAACATATTAGGCACATCAGATCTCAATATGAAGTTGGACATCTATACAAATAACGACATGGCAATGTCTTGGGAACAAAAGGATGCCAAGTCTTTTAGTGGAAATAAGTTATCAGCCTACAGAGGGCTCAGTTGTGTAGACACCCTAAAATCGGAGTGAAATGAAGATGTGGCAGGCTAGTCCATTATTACAAAAACTTAATTTCTGCAACTCAAATTGCTTTTCAGTATCTTGTGTGGCCCCCACGAGCTTGTGTGCATGCTTGACAACGTCGGGGCGTGCTCCTGATGAGACAATAGTTGGTGTCTTGTGGCATTTCCTCCCAGATCTGTGTGAGGGCATCCCTGAGCTCTTGTACAGTCTGAGGAGCAACCTGGTGCTGCCTAATGGACCGAAACATAATGTCCCACAGATGTTCTATTGGGTTTAAGTCAGGGGATCGTGACGGCCATTCAATTGTTTCAATTCCTTCATCCTCCAGGTACTGCCTGCCTACTCTTGCCACATGAGGTCCGGCATTGTCGTGCATTAGGAGAAAACCAGGACCTACTGCATCAGCGTAGGGTCTGACAAAGGGTTCAAGGATTTCATCTCCATACCTTATGGCAGTCAGAGCACCATTTCCTAGGCAGTAGAGGTCTGTGCGTCCCTCCATGGATATGCCTCCCCAGACCATCACTGACCCACCACCAAACCGTCATGTTGAACGACGTTGCAGGCAGCAAAACGTTCTCCTAGTCTTCTCCAGACTCTTTCACGTCTATCACAGGTGCTCAGGGTGAACCTGCTCTGGTCTGTAAAAAGTACAGGGCGCCAGTGGCGGACTTGCCAATTCTGGTGTTCTTGAGCAAATGCCAGTCGAGCTCTACGGTGCTGGCCAGTGAGCACAGGACCCACTACAGGACGTCGAGCCCTCGGGCCATCTTCATGAAGTCTGTTCCTTATTGTTTGGGTAGAGACATTCACACCAGTGGGCACGAGCAGTGCTCAGCCTGTTCCACCTTGCACAAAGGAGCAGGTATCGGTCCTGCTGATGGGTTGTGGACCATCTACGGCCCTGTCCAGCTCTCTGAGAATAACCACCAGTCTCCTGAAATCTCCTCCATGTTCTGGAGATTGTGCTGGGAGACACATTAAACCTTCTTGCTGCAGCACGTGTGGATGTGCCATCCTGGAGAAGTTGGACAACCTGTGCAACTTCTGTAGGGTTAAGGAATCGCCTCATACTGCCAGTAGAGAGCCCAAACTAGCATGAGTGGAAAACCAGCCAAAAAAGATCAAGAGGGAGAAACTTGAAATGACCTCTACATGTGAAACCAGTCCTGTTTTGAGGGTTTTGTAGTTGTTGCCACTTTAGTGCACCTGTTGTTAAGTCCATGAACAATAATACAGCTGAAAGTGATTAACAATTCCCTCAGCTGCTTAATCAACCAGGAAATTATCAGACAGGTTTAATTGATTTCATGCCAGGTCCAATAAAAATAGGTGTTCCTTTTATTCTTGTGAGCAGTGTATATCGGTTATCAGCCGTAACGAAGATCTTAATATCGGATATCAGTATCGGCCCAAAAATATAATATCGGTGCATCACTATATATTTTAAATCTGACCAGCAGAGAAGATCACCAATGTAAGATGGTGCTTGTCCATGTAAGGCCCTATAGACCAGAACCAGGATCTTGAAATGAACCCTGAAGTTGACTGGCAGCCAGTGAAGCTGGAGGAGAAGCGGGGTGATGTGGGTGTGTTTGGAGGACTTGGTCAGAAGCCGAGCACAGGCATTCTGAACCACCTGTAGACGGTTCAGGGAGGTTCTGCTCAGACACGTGAAAAGAGAGTTACAGTAGTCTAAGCGTGAGGAGATGAAGGTGTGGATAACTGTCTCAAGTTCAGAGCGGGACAGAATGGGACTCAGCTTAGCAACGTTCCTGAGATGGAAGAAGGAAGAGCGAACAAGAGAACTGACATGAGAATCCAGGGTGAGAGCTGGGTCAAAGGTCACACCAAGATTCCTGACAGAAGGTTTGGTGTGAGAAGCAAGCTGACCAAGAGAGTCACTGACTTTGGGAACCAGCTCGTCTGGGGCCCAGATGAGGATCTTAGTCTTATTTTCATTCAGCTGTAGAAAGCTCCCAGCCATCCAGGTTTTGATAGAGTAAGCAGGTGTATAACAGCTGCAGCTTAGACATCTCATGGGGCTTAAAGGAGATGTACAGTTGGATGTCATCTGCATAAAGATGGTAGGAGATTCCTTTGAAGGAGGTCAGGGTGTGCTGAAGAGGAAGTGGATAGAGGAGGAAGATGGTAAATGGTAAATGGCCTGTATTTGATATAGCGCCTTCTAGAGTCATGGAACCCCTCCAAGGCGCTTTACAACACAATCGGTCATTCACCCATTCACACGCATTCACACCCTGGTGGGGATGAGCCACGATGTGGCCACAGCCGCCCTGAGGCGCACTGACAGAGGTGAGGCTGCTAAGCACTGGTGCCACCAGTCCTTTGCCCAAGGACACAACGACAGTGACAAACTGAGCGGGACTCGAACCTACAATCTTCAGATTACAGGGCGAGCACTAACTCCTGTGCCACTGTCGCCCCAAGAGTAGGGGCCCCAGCTCAGAATGTTATGGGACACCATGGAGGAGGGAGGTGGTGGAGGACCTAAACTTTGAGACAGCCACAGAAAAAGAGCGCTCAGAAAGATAAGAGGAGAACCACTCCAGAACATTTCCTGATAGGCCTACCCAGTCTCTCAGCCTCTCCAGTAGCAGGTGATAGTCAACAGTGTCAAAGGCTGCAGGCAGGTCCAGCATGACCAGAACAGAACCATTCCCTGCATCACTGTGAGTCAGAAGGTCATTAGAGACCCTGTTAGTTATTAAGTGTGATTATGTGAATCCTCTGAGAGCCTCATTAAAGAAGTTTTTTAATTTCAAATAACTGTCCATTTAACATATTCGAATGACTTGTCTGTACTTAAAATATTTAATTCATTCGTCGTGTTTGTAAAATGTAACCAGCACATTGTCTGCTTTTTTGTCCCGTTCTAGCCGGAGCTCTAGATCCTCCTCTGTCGGTGGTGCGCAAGTTTGTCCACCTGTTGGAGCAGAGCCCCTTGGATCTGCAGGAAGAACAGGAAGTGACACGTCTCAGGGAGGAAGTGGTCACAAAGATTCGCTCCAATCAGCAGATGGAGAAAGACTTGAATCTGATGGACATTAAGATTGGGCTTCTGGTGAAGAACAGGATCACGCTGCAGGTTGGAAACGCGTTTTAGAGAGCAGCAGCATGGCTTTATGCGTGTCAGTGGAACAAACTTAGGCTTTATAAATGTGTCGGTTTCAGCAGGAATTTCTCATTCATTTGGTTTTTTTTCATTTAACAGGATGTTGTGTCACATAGTAAGAAAATGAAAAGCAAGAAAAACAAAGCCAGTAAAGATGATCCGAGTCCAGGAGGTGGACTGGGTATAAAAGGTCTCAGTAAGGTTAAAAGAAGAAAACTGGAAGCCTACCAGCATCTTTTTTACCTGTTACAGGTAAAATCCTTTTGCATCAAGCACCTGACTTAAACATTCACCTGATTTTTCTGATCCACTATGAGGAACTTGACTACAAGTTTACTATATGCTGATGCGTTCCCTTTTCTGTCCTCTTCTTTAGACAAACCCATCCTACCTGGCTAAGCTGATCTTTCAGATGCCTCAGAACAAATCCACAAAGTTTATGGACACTGTGATCTTCACGTTGTACAACTACGCCTCCAACCAAAGGGAAGAGTACCTGCTTCTAAAACTGTTCAAGACTGCTCTAGAAGAGGAGATCAAGTAAGACCCGAGACCACCTTGTGTTGCTTAGTCTCATTTAAACATCAGATCGGGTGTAACCGCTTTTCTGGCGTCCCAGCTCTAAGGTAGATCAGATCCAGGACATCGTGACGGGCAACCCCACCGTTATCAAGATGGTGGTGAGCTTTAACAGAGGGGCACGCGGCCACAACACGCTCAGACAGCTGTTGGCTCCAGTGGTCAAGGAGATCATCGAAGACAAGAGCTTGGGCATCAACACCAACCCTGTGGACGTGTACAAAGCCTGGGTTAACCAGCTGGAGACGGCCACCGGAGAGGCTAGGTAGGAGGCAGAAACAGTTGTCTTCCTGTTTTAATATCTGATAGAATGATGTCTTATTTAATACCTAATAATTATTTATTTTTCACAGTCTCACCTGTTCATTAAACTTTTGTCTCTTGTCGCTGTCCTTTAGCAAGCTGCCCTATGAGGTGACTCCTGAACAGGCCATGTCTCACGAGGAAGTGCGCAGCAGGCTGCAGGCGTCCAGTCTCACTCTTCGCTCGGCCACAGATAAAGTCCTAAACTCCATTGTGTCCTCGCTGGACAATATCCCGTAAGTTCCAACCTGTTTTTTGTCCCTGTCCTCTTAAAAGCTGTCCCGTTCCTGCCTGTGTATGTCGGACACCTATAAGCATACTTAATGTGTATATATATTATATATATACACACATATATATACACACACACATATATATATATATATATATATATATATATATATATATGATATTTTGTATTTAATATTATTAAACAATTCTAATTTTAGTTTTTGTTTGTTGCTTGCATCTTTTAATTACCTGGTAAGGCTTTCTCCCAGTTTAGATTATATTGGATATAAATTTAGCTGTTAGCTAATTACTTTAATGGGATGTAATTTGGGACTCAAGTCTGGTTATTTTAATCTCCTTGACTCATAAATACACATCTTAGATTACATAACAAATCATGTCTTCCACTAGATGGTGCTGCTTTGTAACTTGCAAAACAATCTAGTTGAAGACAAAGAAACTGGGCATACTTGCAGTTGTTGATGTTTTCTTTGTTCTGATTGGTTTCGTTGAGCGTGTGAAGGCATGATGTTTTGTCTCTGATTTCTCATCATCACCTGTTGTTTTGCATGTAGTTATGGCATGAGGTACATAGCAAAGGTTCTGAAGAACAGCCTCCATGAAAAGTTTCCAGAAGCCTCAGAAGATGAGCTGCTGAAGGTAGAAGATGTAGATAATTAACATTTAGTCTTCTGTTTATTTCTGATGTTTGCAAGTTTAGGCTGAATGTTTTTTTCCATGTTAGATTGTAGGAAACTTGCTGTACTACCGCTACATGAACCCAGCCATTGTGGCTCCAGATGGCTTTGACATCATCGACATGTCAGCGGGAGGGCAGCTTCACCAAGATCAACGCCGCAACCTGGGATCTGTGGCCAAGATGCTTCAGCACGCTGCCGCTAATAAGCTGTTTGAGGGCGAGAATGCACACATGACACCGATGAACACTTATATATCTCAGACGTATGAAAAGTTCAGGTAAGGTTAAAGGAATGTGTACAGGTGTTGGTAATTAGAATATAATGACAAGTTGATTTATTTGATTAACTCCATTCAAAAAGTGAAACTTGTATATTAGATTTATTCACTATGATGAATAAATCAAATGATGAATGATGAATTTCAAATGTTTATTTTTTATTTTTTTATTTTGATGATTATAACTGACAACTAATGAAAATCCCAAATTTATTATCTCAGAATATTGTGAAAAGATTCAAAATTAAAGACTTCCCTGCCACACTCTAATCAGCTTATGAAGTCAAAACACCTGCAAAAGCCTTTAAATGGTCTCTCAGTCTAGTTCTGTAGGCGACACCATCATGCGGAAGACTGCTGACTTGACAATTGTTCAAAAGATGACCATTGACTCCTTACACAAGGAGGGCAAGACACAAGGTCATTGCTGAAGAGGCTGGCTGTTCACAGAGCTCTGTGTCCAAGAGAGGCGAAGAGAAGGACACGATGTGGTAGACAAAGTGTACAAGCTATAGAGATAACTGCACCCTGGAGTTAGTGCTTCAAGAACACAGACGTGTGCCAGACCTGAGTTTCAGCTGTCATTATCCTTGTGTCAAGCCACTCTTGAACAAGAGATGGCATCAGAAGTGTCTCGTCTGGGCTAAAGACCATAAGGACTGGACGGCTGCTGAGTGGTCCAGAGGTATGATCTCTGATGAATGTACATTTTGCATTTCCATTTGGAAATCAAGACCCCAGAGTCTGGAGGAAGAGAGAAGAGTAACAGAATCCACGTTTGAGGTCCAGCGTAAAGTTTCCACAGTCAGTGATGGTTTGGGGTGCCTTGTCATCTACTGGTGTTGGTCCATTGTGTTTTCTGAGGTCCAAGGTCAACGCAGCCATCTACCAGGAAGTTTTAGAGCACTTCATGCTTCCTGCTGCTGACCAACTCTATGGAGATGCAGATTTCATTTTCCAGCACAACTGCACACAGTGCCACAGCTACCAGTACCTGGTTTAAGGACCATCCCAGTTCTTGACTGGTTAGCAAACTGGCCTTACCTTAACTCCATAAAAATCTGAGTATTGTGAAGAGGAAGATGCAATAATCCAGACCCAACAATTCAGAAGAGCTGAAGGCCACTATCAGAGCATCATGGGCTCTCATAACACCTGAGCAGTGCCACAGACCGATCGACTCCATGCCACACCACATTGCTGCAGTAATCCAGACCAAAGGAGCCCCAACTAAAGACCGAGTGCTGTTCATGCTCATACTTTTCATGTTCACACTTTCAGTTGAACAACATTTCTAAAATTCCTTTTTTTGCATTGATCTTAATTGATATTCTAATAATCTGAGATACTGAATTAGAGATTTTCATTAGTTGTGACTTATAATAATCAACATTTAAAGAAATTAACATTTGAAATATTTCAGTCTGTGTAATGAATGCGTCTACCATACAAGTTTGACTTTTTGAATGGAATTCCTGAAATAAATCAACTTGGTCATGATATTCTAATTAAATGACAGCAGCTTTATACATTCATGCAATGTTGCTATGGATTTATTGATCAGGTCTTTGAGCCACTAAGTCCACATTAAATAGAAAAACTTGATAGAAAAGAGGAACTCTCCCACTAGTGAGAACAAAGAGTGCTGATAAGCTCTATTAGATTTGAATGTGAGGTCAGGTCGGCACGGCGACCACAGCTGTAATTCTGGTAAGAGAGGAAGCTGTGTGTGCCGAATCAGCAAGATGGAGATGGTTTTACTCGCATCACCTCAACACCAGAGAAAAGCAAAGACAGTCACATTTTCAAAGGAACTCATCAGTTTTCAGCCTGGTTGGTAGGGAAACAATCACAGAGGCTGTGACGTGTCTTCTATGATAGTGTGATGTTTGTAGCTTAGCTCTGCTGTATCTAAAGCTGTATCTCTTCCTCCAGGCTATTCTTCCAGTCTGCCTGTGATGTCCCTGAACCAGAGGAGAAGTTTAATGTTGATGAATACTCCGACATGGTGACCCTGAGCAAACCCATCATCTACATCTCTATAGAAGAGATCATCAACACTCACTCGGTACACGCAGACGTTTCCATACAGATGTGCAGTTACATTCTTAATAACATAACACTACTACTGAAGAAAATCTGCATTTGTTCTTTTGATTATCCAGAGGATTTCAAGGCGAGAGGTGGGCTTGTTCTTTTGACCATCATCAAGGCTCTCCCAATGCGACTCAGATCTTTCTGTGTTCATAAATAATCATAAATCAGGGCTGGACATCACCTCCAGATTTTAAAAATATTGATACATTTTCAAACATGATGACCCTGTAATGTTTATATCAATATAAATACCGTAAATCCTCTAATACAGGCCCGGGCCTGTATTTGACTCAAGCTCATCAAGCTCCAGGCCTTTATTGGAAGGAGGACCAGAATTAGTGGCAGGCCTCTATTTCTGTTTGAGCAAAATGAACTAATGGTTCGCTGGAGTTTTTGACAATTAAAATTGCGCCCACATTTTCAAAGTTAAACACATTTCTTTTAACAACGGTAGTTTCTGCTTCAGCCCTCTCCCCCCTCCCCCGCGCAGCGGCTGCAAACTCACTGATGCGCCTGCAGCCTCTCAGAGTTCCTGCTGCTCTAAACATTAAAATAATTATTTAGTTTTCTGTTCCTCACTTCTGATTACCTTCAATGGTGTCTGTTTGTTGCAACCACCAGGTACAAAAACTAACTTGTTTTTATTTTGACTATTTTTCTGTCCTGCCTGTTTATTATCTTCCTGCATCTCCTCTCAATCCTAAAGAAAAACTGCTACCTGGGTTCATATATATTCACCTTATGAGTTACCTTTGAACTGCAGTTCTAAAAGATCTACCGAATGCAAAAACAGCGGAGTGCGTGTTGCTCGCCGGCCGCATCAGTGAGGTGTGTCACCAGAGGACAAAACAGGTGATGCGCCCTGCTCCACAGCAGCGAAACGCATCAGGCGCAAATAAAAGACAGAAAACATTAAAGGAAATGAGCCGATATGAACGATCACGTGTCAGTACCGCCGCTCTGGCACAGCGCATCACCCTCCCCCCCCCCCCCCCCGATGCACAGGAGCTTGTCACCTGCTGACAGCAGGTTGCTGTCTTTTCCGAGGGCTGCATCTTGCCGGTCGTTATCACGTGACAGCGACTAGTCGATGACAGGCATAAAAAGTCACTATAGAGCAGTGAAGTCGACTAGTGACTAGTTCATACAACCCCTGCTACTGCTCCCCAGAGTGTTCTGCAGCATAATAAGCATGTTCTCTTTGAACTTGATATCAAATTTTCGCATCCTCTTCGTCTCCGCACGGTTAAAGTTACCCTCACGGTCTATCACTGGCAAATCAAAAGTGAGACGGATGACACAACCGCCCCCCGTACTTGCTTGTTACCACATTCCACCCGGCCACAATAAAATACCGGCCATTATTCACCTCCGCCGACTCTGACACCGGCCAAAATATGATACCCGTCCGTTAATCGATTACAGGCCAATATTAGAGGATTTATGGTAAACAACCTGTGAATTTCTGGAGTTGGCAGGCGTTGCTCTCACTAGCTTGCTGCTTCTGTTAGCGGTCCTTGCACGTGTTCATACACGTTTGGTCGATCGTTTGATGACAAAACTTACAGAAAACATGTTCTCAATGCTCATAAAAATCTCTTAAGTTTTTGTTCTGCTCTGTTGAGGATAGTTTGGGTAAAGATACCTTTGATCCCAGGATTATAATTGGTGACATCTGTTTTTTGCAGCTGCTTTTGGAGCATCTGGAGGCCATCTCACCGGACCGCAACGATTTGCTGCATGAGCTGCTGCAGGACCTGGGAGACGTTCCTGATGTTGAGACTTTACTTGGTAAAGTCCAACGGACTTTAACCTAAATGTTTCCCAGTTTTATTACAAGGTTCCCAGTTTTCCAAGCTGTGCTGCTTTATTCTCTAGGTGAAGGAGCCGTGGACTCTAATGACCCAAACAGAGAGAGCACTCTGAGCCAACTGGCTAAGACCGAGGTCTCCCTCACCCTCACCAGCAAGTTTGAGCTGCTGGAGGGAGACGACAAAGACCTGAAGACTCTAATGACAAAGTGGGTTTGTGCTGAGACTCTGTTGACGTGTCCGTATCCTGCATGTCTTTGCTGTCCTTCCTGCCTCTCTTATCATTTCCTGTTGAGAGGCGTTTGGGTTATCTGGATGTGGAACATGCATCCGCTTGAGTCGGTTTTTCTGAAGTCTACTTTGGAACGTTTTTCACATTTCCAGGCAGAGATATGAATTTGCAAGTAAAATAAAATAAACGGATTATGTGTATTTCTAACTGAAAGGGTTTAAATGCTCTTTTAAAGACGATTGGGGTAAAACTTGAAAGCGATCTCATTGATCTTCTCCCAGTTACTTTTGCGGATATAGGAGGTAACGGTAGAGAAGCTCTGGCATCCCAGTTCCTGCCGACGCTCTCCAGGGATGCACGTTTGGGGGGAAACATAACTTTTTTTGTTTTTGAGAAAATTTTTGTCAGTTTAGAAACTATGGAAAAAAATTCCAAAAAATGCTGCTGAAGTCCACTTGTGTGAGTAATTCAACTTGGACTGTGAGACCATCTAAAGGCTCGGGAACCTTTTGTAGGTGGTTTTGGATCAATTAGCTGATAAGAGTGTGATTAAAATAAGTCTTTTCACAATATTCTAATTGTCTGAGGGTTTTATCTTCTGTAAGCCATAATCATCACAATTTTATCAAACAAAGGCTTGAAATATCTGGCTTTGCATGGAATGAGTCTATCTCACATATTAGTTTCACTTTTTAAGTAGAATTACTGACATAAATGAACTTTTGCACCAGATTCTGACTTTTTGAGTTACACCTGGAACCATGCTCCCTTCAGATCATCATATTTGCTTCTTCTTGGATGTAGAAAGTCAAAATGATTAGAAACACAGTTTTAGATCATTATTTAGTGTTTGTGTTAATTGAAAGTAAATCCAAGTTTCCTCATGGCTGCACTCAAACTGAAATAATTCTATCAAAATGCTTCTTTTTCCTATCTTTTGTAGGAGGTGTAGGATGATGATACTTAGACGATGTTTGTTGTTAAATTTCTTAAGCCTCTTGTTTTGGTTTTAGTGACACAAAATACAAATTCATTGCTGTGTGTTTTAGGACTAAAAAGCTGGTTGTTGATGTGATCCGTATTCAACCTGGGGAGACATTGCCTGAGATTCTAGAGACACCAGCCACCTCGCTACAGGTCAGATGTCTTTTTAATAAGGCTGTTACTTTTTATATTAAATGACTGTAATAAAATAAATCCAGTTGTTTTAAGTTTTTCTGCCTTTGTTCCTGAAGGAGTCGGAGCACAAGAAGATTGTGGAGCGACGGGCGGTCCAGGATGCTCAGACACCAGAGGAAATGAAAAGCAGCCCCTGCGTTTTAGAGGACAGCCAGCTGCCTCTGGAGCAGAAGAAGAGGAGAATCCAGAGGAATCTCCGTAATCTGGAGCAGGCTGGCCTCGTCAGTGCGACCAACAACTACCAGGACCTCATAAAAGATATAGCAAAGGTGCTTAAGCAATTTCCTGTCTAAAGATAACAGCCGTAGTGTTTCAAATCACCGAGTTTAAACCTTTAACCAACAGGACATTCGGTACCAAAGACGCCACAGGCAGAGAAGAAAGGCTGAGTTCATGAAGCTGCAGCAGACGCTGACGGCGCTCAACTCCAAAGCTTCCTTCTTCCAGGAACAGATGAACTACTACGACACCTACATCAAGACCTGCCTGGACAACCTCAACAGGAAGTCAGTTTGACTGATCCTCTTGTTGATTTATCACGTTTTATTTGATGAATATCGCAGATTATCTTATTCTTTTCATACCAATCATGACTGTTTGCAGGAATTCACGCAGATCCATAAAACTAGATGGCAAAGGAGAAGAAAAAGGCAGCAAGAAGTGGAAGCCACAGTCTCTGAAGTACACTGCAGCTCGGCTGTATGAGAAGGGGGTTGTCCTGGAGATAGAAGGTCTTCAGACAAACCAGTAGGTTGAGACCAGAGTTTTAATTAGACCCTGTTTTATGTAAAACAATGTCGGAGGCAAAGAAAAGCTGTTCGGATCGAGCTTACTTTAGGAAAATGAAAATCAGGAAATGGAAAATTAGCTTCAGAATGTATCTGTAGTTTCTCTCAAGTAATGTAGGAATGTCATCATTAGCATTTAACCTTTGTTCTTTTCTCATCCCTCAGGTTTAAAAATGTTATGTTTGACATTTCGCCCACTGAGGAAGTTGGAGATTTTGAGGTGAAGGCCAAGTTTATGGGGGTTGAGATGGAAAAAGTCCAGCTTCATTTCCAGGTAAACATTTCCCAAGTGCATAGGGATTTAATTGAAACTGTTAAGGCTCTGTGACCGATTGTTCCATTTCCTGTTGACGGGAAGTATGAGAATGTGGGCATGGTTTTACCAAATGCTTCTCTATAACGATAAGAACTCATGCACTAGTTAAATGGTAAATGGCCTGTTTTTGATATTGATATAGCGCCTCCTAGAGTCATGGAACCCCCCAAGGTGCTTTACAACCCAATCAGTCATTCACACATTCACACACTGGTGGGGATGAGCTACAATGTAGCCACAGCTGCCCTGGGGCGCACTGACAGAGGCGAGGCTGCCGAGCACTGGCGCCACCGGTCCCTCCGACCACCACCAGCAGGCAACATGGGTTAAGTGTCTTGCCCAAGGACACAACGACAGCGACAGACTGAGCGTGGCTCGAACCTGCAACCTTCCAATTACAGGGCGAGCGCTTAACTTCCTGTGCCACCGTTGCCCCAAATACGTCATGGAAACCAAGAATTTGTGTTTATTAGGGCGAATGATTCCTAATCATTTTGTGTTTTGTGTCCAGGACCTCCTACAGCTGCAGTACGAAGGCGTGGCCGTCATGAAGATGTTCGACAAAGCCAAAGTTAACGTTAATCTACTCATCTTTCTTCTGAACAAGAAGTTTTATGGGAAATAAACGAAGAAGAGAAAGCAGGAATTCCTCCTTATGATGGGAACAAATTATTTAGAATTGTCTTATTTCATCAGATTTAATTTAATGGATCACACCTGAATAAAACGTTCTGATTTTCTATGTGCTGATTGTAAATGAAATTTACTTTTACAAATAAAATTGTTACAATATTTATGTTTTGTATGCAAAACTTATGAGGAAACAGCAGCGCGGAGCTGGAAAACGGCGTTCCATCTGACATGCGCATACAGGATTACTACAGTCTACCGGTGCCTTTTAAACATTTAAATGTTTTAATTCAATGTCAGAACTACTCTATGAATTTTTAATACGTGGCTATTAATAATTGTGTCCTAATGCAGGTAAATGATGTGCCGAATAAAGTTACTCCTGTCCAGAATGTTTTTCTTTCTACTTTATTTTCCTCTTGGCAAATTTTGCTGGTTGGTTTAAATTCGGGAGTAAATATTTTGACCTGACGAGTGAAGCTGAAGGGGAGGAGATCTGCAGACCGGAGGAGGAGAGGTTCCCTCCTAGACTCTAGAGAAAGAAACATTCTTCTCTCTGCAAACCCGTCTAACAAAAGGATAAGATGTGCACTGGCGCAATGCTTTTATTAATAAGTGTGTTTCTGTTTTATCACACAACTCCAGCTCTTCCCTCTCACAATGGTAAGTACTCGTTTTATAGTGTTTATGTCACCACTGAGTCGACTGAAAGTTTCATGACCAAAAAAAAAAAAAAAGATTTGAATGTTTTTACCATTTAGGTGAAGTTTGTGTTTTTGTTGCTTGGATAAAAATGCATCGGGTGTTGGAAATTATCGTGGTAATGAAATATACTTGGATGTATTAATGTTCATTCAAAAGATAAATGATACATAATTTTCAAATTAGAAGATTTTGATATTAAAGCACATTTATTTTCAGATATTCAATTATTTCACACTCTGCCGCAATAAGTGATGTCTTTAGTACAGAATGTCTTATTGGTTAAAGAAAGAGCTTTAAACTGAATTTATGAATATTTTAAAATGTGTCTAGAATTTTATTTGTACACAAATTAGCAACCAAATAAATAGATAAGTGTAGATTTGTGCAAAATATTTCACCTCGATGGGTCAGAAACATTAAAAAGTGTTTGAATGCATGTTAAACTAAACTTTAATACTAATATTTTAAACATTGTTGGCATGCTTTTATATCACATGTAATGTAAACCACCTTAAAACAGTTTTATGAATCTTCATGATTTCTCTACTTTGATTTGCTCACATCCTTTGCAAATTTCCAGTATTTATCCTTTCTCCTGTGAAAAGTGTTGATTCTGATGGTTTCAGAATGAGCAAATCCTGAAATGTACCAAAATGAGTAAAACTTGTTTTTTTTTACAGTTTGAACCAAACAATGCTAAACTTTTCATTAAAACACTTCAAGTTGTTCACAGAAGTGGCTGCTGCCTGCTTAGAACTGGTACTTATCAGTTACCACAGAAGAAGAGAACTTCGTATAAATCATAATGATAAATTATGTCTTGATGTATTTCTTGCAACATAACGTTAGCAGAAAATTGTGAGAGAAAACAAACATTGGATTCTTTCCTTGTTGGTAAGTTTTGTTCCTTTTCAACGATTAACTGTAGCATCAAACACATTTTTACGTTTTATTGATGCTTTTATAGAAAATAATTTTATAAATTATACTACCTTACTCTGGCTGGTAGTAGCTTATTCCTGAACAAAATCATCTCTTCAATTGAAAGCTGAAGCAAACCAGAGAGAACAGGGAAGAGGCCTTTAGTAAAAATATAATTATTAAAAAAACAAATAGCAGCAGATTTCTGAAGGTGTTATGAACCAAAGAGCGGAATACTGAGCAGTAAAACAAACACTAAAACCCTTCTGTCTTCGTTCTTTTCTGTCTGAAGGCTCGGTGCTCATTCCTCGGACGTTCTCGGGTCACTTCATCATGGTGACTGATGAACCTGTGGACTACGTTGACCTGTCTGCTGTTGATGATGTCAGCGGTGATGGGGATTCGGGCTCAGAACTGAAACCACAGTCCGTAAAAAGACACCACCATCACCCCTCAAAACTCTATTTTGTCTCAGAGGAAACCAAAGAGTTCCTCCAGGGTCACCTAGCAACAGCCCTCATCCCAACCATTTACACCCTGGTCTTCATCATCAGTGTGCCTCTCAACCTCGTTGCCGCAGTGATGTTTGTTCATCGGATACGTCCCAGGAAGCCGGCTGTGATCTACATGCTGAACCTGGCCTGTTCTGACCTTCTATTTGGTCTGCTCCTTCCCTTTAAAATCACCTACCATTACCACGGCAACAACTGGATCTATGGCTCCTTCCTGTGCCGTGCTGTCACAGCAGCATTCCACTGCAACATGTACTGCTCCGTGCTGCTCATGACGTGCATCGGTGCGGACCGCTTCCTGGCTGTGGTTTACCCCATGAAGTCCCTGACGTGGCGCAGCCCCCAGACGGCTGCAGCTGTCTGTGCTGCCATGTGGCTTGTGTCTCTGGGAGGAATCTTCCCCCTTCTGATCTCAGATCAGACCATCTACCTGTCAGACCTGGGAATCACCACCTGCCACGACGTGCAGGATGTGGAGAAGCTCCAGGCTTTCTATCTCTACTTCTTTCCTATCTACTCCTCTGTCTTTTTCTTCATCCCTCTCATCATCACTGCTATTTGTTACATACGGGTCATCCAGGCTCTGGCTGCGGCCAACGTGGACAACCGCTCCAAGAAGACCCGTGCTATAGTGATGACTGTGATAGTGTTGCTTGTGTTTGTGGTCTGCTTCACTCCTACAAACGTCATCCTGATGGCTCACTACGTTCAGATGTCCCACTCCTCCAACGATTGCTCCTACAAGGCCTACCTGCTCTCCTTGTGTGTTAGCAGCATCAGCTGCTGCCTGGATCCGGTCCTGTACTACTACGGCTCTTCCCAGTGCCAGAAGCAGGTTACGGCTATGCTCAGGTGTCGGAGGTTGACACGAGCAGACAGCAGCTCAGAAACACGCAGCTCAAGAACCAGTGGGTCCACCATCAGCAGCCGGTCCAGCAAGATGGAGAACATTCATGCCGGCCTGGGGAGCCAGTATAACAGACTCAATCTAAAGCACTGAGACACCTTTCAAACCAGAGTAGAAACCCCCGGCGTCCGTCCGTCCATCCATCCATCCATCCACTCCTGCTTATCTGGTGTCGGGTCGTGGGTGCAGCAACCTAAGCAGGGAGGCCCAGACTTCCCTCTCCCTGGCCACTTCCTCCAGGGGAATCCCAAGGCGTTCCCTGGCCAGCCGAGAGACATAATCCCTCCAGCATGTCCTGGGTCTTCCATTGGGTCTCCTCCTGGTTGGATGTGCGTGGAAAACCTCAGGAGGCGTCCAGGAGGTATCCTGACCAGATGCTCCTCTCAATGTGGAGGAGCAGCAGGTCTACTCCGAGCCCCTCCCAGATGACTGAGCTTCTCACCCTATCTATAAGGAAGACAACAGCCACCCTGCAGAGAAACTAATTTCGGCCGCTTGCATCCACGATCTTATTCTTCCGGTCACTAAAGCTTACAGGTGAGGATAGGAACGTGGATCGGCCGATAAATTCAGTTTCACCTTCCAGCTCAGCTCTCTCCACCGTGATGGACCGGTACAATGCCCGCATCACTGCAGACGCAGCACCAATCCGCCTGGCAATTTCACGCTCCATCTTTTCCTCGATTGAAAACAAAACCCTGAGATACTCAATCTCCTCCACTTGGAGCAAATAGCATTTTTACATATTGTGTTGCATCTTGTCATGAAATTCTTAACAAATTGTAAGAATGAAAATCATTTATTTGAATTAGTTTTGACCACATGTGATGTAAATTTAACTGGTAGAAAACTTTATTTCAAAATGAGCCATGCTAATAATCCTCCATGTTCTATATGTGTAAATATTAAAACCAATGTGCAGGCAGCAGTGTAAAACAGGGATTTTCAAAGTGTGTTATGACATTTAAATTTAAATTTCTTCCCAGATTTGTTAACTTTGTGGTATTTAATATATTTTTTAACTCAAATAACCAAATATTTTAACCCCTGACTGTATTTGAAACGCCAACTAAACCCAGAGAAGGTCTGCTCTTACACTTCTCATTAAATTTTGGCTCATTCCAACATGTCTCTCTGAACATTTTCAACAAATGACCAACATGAACCCCCCCAAAAAAGTTTTAAACATGTCTGGCAAAAAGGCCCAAAACCTCTAGATAATTCAATCAAAACAACACCAAATGGAGATTTTATTCAACTTTTTTCATGCACGAAGCTTCCTCTCTGCTCACTCGGCATTCTCGTTCTCATCAGGACACAGCTCTGCAACACAAGAAAGAGCCGAACTCAATTTGTGAGAAGGAGCATTTTCTGTGCATTATTAGAATAAAGGCCAATAATCCAAAACTTGTAAGAATGTCTACACTAAAAGATGTTTGATTTTTGTTCCTCAGTACACATCTCCACCTAGTGTTTATCTGTGCTGCTTTGAGAAGAAGCTGCTGCTGAAAAGTTACTGACCTACTTTGCCGTCGTAGCTGTGGAAGTTCTTAGGGAAGTTCAGACACTCTGCTTGTTTCTTGAAAATTTCAACATCTTTGGGTTCTACTTTTCCTGTTCTTGCTGAAAGAATTTAATGATATTAGGAAGAGTATGCACATGTAGTCATTTTATCTAAAAAAGATGAGGTGGATAACGCGCGGACTCACTGAACTGCAGGATGTATCTGCCTGTCACGTCCCCATTTCGGAAGGTGTCCGTCCACAGCAGGCAGTCAGAGCAAGTCTGTAGGAGTTGTCCCTTGTGATTGGACAAGTTCTCTAAAAAATGAGAAAAAAGAAATGTTAAATAGCATTATTTTAATTTCAAAGATACATTTATACTTTTTTCTGATCAACATACTGCTAAATGTGGTTGTGAGTCCAGAGACGGTTGCATTTACTTCCCCAAAGATGCAACGATTGCTGGGAAACAAAAATGGATCAGTTCCACTAGTTCAACACGAATCAGCCTGTTTTTATTTTTAACAAAGAAAACTCACAAGCAGTGGTCTCCCCATCTCAGGGTGACCAGCAGATCACTTGAAGTCGGAGTCAAGTGAATCCAGGAGCTTTTTAGGGTCTCCAGTGCTTTGTGATATGGTGGGGGGTCACCTGCTCCCAACGCGTACACCCATTTTCCAAACACCTTTCATGCAAAGATAGAAGTGTGTTTTCGGGACAATTTAATTAAAAAAAAGCAGAACTTACCAGTTTGGGATCATCTGGCATAAAAGGTTTGACCAGGTCTTTGCAGTCAGGAGCCGAGGCTGCTGTGAGGGAAGAGAGAGCCAGCAGCAGCCCAATGACAAGCAGAGCCATGATGTTTCTCAACCTGTTGCAGAAACCTTCTGACACTGGTTTATTTTCCCTCCAGGCTGTCAGACAAAAGAAGTAGTTGTGTTTTAAACGGGGGAGGCAAAGACGAGGTGGAAGGGGGAGCCTAGATGGAGGCATGCAGATTTCTTTTGGACAGTGCTGAACGGACCTCTGTTCTCTGCTTTTCTGCTCCTGAAAGGAGTCGGGAAGAGTGCCACGACCTGTCCTGGACGGTTGAAATGCTTTCAAAAGAACTAAACACAGCTTTTAACAAGTGGGGTGAAATAAATGGAAAACAGTCACCAAGCGACCGACTGTTTCAGGGGACAGGAGTGCATTTTGGAGGAGTTGGCACAAACAAAGTCTTGCAACTTTCTTAGACTTAAAAAACAACAAATAAATAATCGACAGGAAATTGTTAATAGAGATTTTATTTACCACAAGTGACACATGAAACCAAACACAACTTTTACAGAACCAAATTCAACAAGACATGAACCCCCATGGCTTCACTGCTGCCATCTAAACTACTACATGTTTAATTAACACTGTTCTGTCTCTACATAAAACGTTTAGTTTGTGTTCAGCTGAACCAGGAAGTCTACTGAGGCGACACATCTGTGTTCTCCTCGGTTTGATCGCTCTCTGTGTTGCTGACGGAAGGCGAAGCAGATCCCCTCTCATCTGGACACAGATCTGAGGGAAGAGGAAAACAAAAATGACTAAACGAGGTCTGACAGACGATGGGAGAGCTGAAGGAGCGGATGTCTTACGTGTGCTTCCAAAGTGGTACTCGGGGAGAAATTTGAGACACTCTGCCTGCTTTTTATAGGTGTCCAGCTCAGAGGGCTCCAGATTGCCGGTCCGTGCTTTTACAAGATGATGACATATGTAAGATTCTTAAAAACAAGTGGGATCTTAATAGAATAATTAAAATTAAAGGGCTTACTGAACAGGAAAAGGTATCGTCCCTTTGACTTGCCGTCAGGGAGGAGGGTGGTGTCCTCAGACAGGAGACAGTCGCTGCAGGTCTCATAATACTTCCCATCGTGATAGGAGGTGTGACCATTGATGACAACTGTTAAACATGCAGAGGGTGGAATCAGTGCAGACAAAAATGAATTCAAGTGCACTAAACACATTCAGACCTCAACATTAGTGCTCTGAAATCTACCCATACCTTAGTTAAAGCAACACTAAAGACCTTTTAGCACTTTAAGCTATTGCTTTCAAATTGGTTTCAGTGATTCTTCCCATTATGCAGCACTCTGCTCACCAGAAACCACACTTAACAGTTTGTGTCATGAGTAGGTGCACTAGGGGGAGCACTCTACCTGATTTACAGCTTTGGCTGTTTACTGCCCTGGTAGAAAATATGAAGGCTAGCAGTTAGCTTTTTCAGTTTGCAGATTGTCAATAAAAAGCACAACAAGAATAATTTAGCTTTTTTTTTGCTGGCATCTTGGTGGAGCCTGGAAGTAGCAGTAAGAGAGTGATGTCTTTGTGGCCTACACTGTTTTGAGGGAACTGAGGCCACAAAATCAAGGACTGATGATGGCCTGGCTTTGTTGCTACTTGACTTGTAAGTAATATTGTTGGTCCAACAGTGTGGATCTTTTTACTTTATGGCTTGTTTAGTATCATTGGGCTCGCATATGTGTTAGCTCGTTGTTAGCGCTACCCACAGCAGGCTGTGGCAGCGTCGCTCACGACAGTTGTTATTCTGTTTTCAACCAGTAGAAAAGAGAAGCGGGAAAACTAATTTAGTGTTGGTTTAAGGAGTTTGGCTGATTCAGTAACCAGAAAATAAAAATAACACAATGTTTTAAAGCCCATACAGGTGGTGTGGCTGGTTGTTCCTGAAATGGTGGCATTTGCTGGACCTTGAAGGCATTTATCATCTTTACTGTGATGAAAAAAAGAAGAAAAAATAACTTAATTCAAACACAAGTTCTGTTCAAGAGTTATTTTCAAATGAGGCAAAAAATGTTGTTGAAGCGAGTTCTTACAGACGGTCGGCCCAGTAGACTGTGATGACTCCGCTGTCTGAGGAAGGAGACAGCTCCACCCAGGAGCTGTTCACCGAGGACAGGTCACTCTGCAGGCCTTGTTTGTCCCACGTGCCCACGTGCAATACCCACTTTCCATAGATCTGCACCATAACAGCACAAACAACAACGTTTACGTTCAAACAACAAATTCCCACATTTATCATCAGGAAATAACAAATGTCCTATCTTTGCTGCAATTGTTTTACAACAATAAAGATGGTCTGTTACCTTCGAAATGGACTTGAACCATTCAGATTCAAGAAAGAAAGAAGAACTGTTTTGGCAGAAATTTGGAAACTTTCAGACTTTCACCATAAGTAGACAGTTTAGGAGGGAGTGTTTTTTTTCTTCTTCAGTGCTGTATTAATTATACACTACAAACAAAATTTGGAATTTTTTAATTTGAGAGAATAAAATTTTAAATTTTCAACTAAATGAATCACTGAACTGGGAAATAGAAAATGTTATTTTATTAAATAATAGATCATCTGGTGGAAATTAAGCAAATCTTGACCAAAAGATGACAAAATATTGAGGCCTAAATGGCGACTGTGGTAAAATCCTACTGAAGAAATCTATTTTAAAATGATTTATTCAAACACAACACTGATAACTTTTGTTTGCATCATCAGGTTTACTGGCATATGTAATCCACATACTAGCCATAACTGCGGTCAATGTCACAGGCATCATAGTTTAAAGTATAATTTTACAAACAATGTGATGCTGGCTCGTTTATTATTGTAGTAAAACCTGAAATACTTCAGTATAACAGATGATAGATGCCTTTTCATGCAAATGCATTTTAGAAAAGCTATTTAGAGTACAGTGAACTGTGCATCAAGCCTTCTCCATCTTGTCCTCATCAAATACTCACAGGACTGTGGCTGTCCAGAAGCAGAGGCTTAACCAGCTCCTTACAGTCCAGTTCAGACGCGACGCTCAAGGAGGTGAAAGCCAGCAGAGCGACAACCAGCTGTGCAGCCATGGCTCCAGACATCAGGCAGCCAGAGAGCAACTCTAGTGTCAGGGATCCTGCTGCCTCGTCCAAGGAACCGGGGGACGGGTTCTAACAGGGGGCCGGGCTCTCACACAAGAGTTTCTTTAAAGAACATCAATCCGTCTCGCCTTTATTTACCACCAATTTAACTGTTGTTGCTCCTTCCTGCTTCTGATCTTAAAGCAAATATTCACCCTGCTTAAAGAATTTTAATGTTCTCAATATAACCAAATTTAAACACACACACACACACACACACACACACACACACACACACACACACACACACACACACACACACACACACACACACATTTTCTCCCTCTGGGAAAACAGTGGTTCACTTTTCAGCTCATGTGGGCTCAGCGGGGGCTCCTGTCCTGTTAATCTGGTTACATAATAACCAGCTGGCACTGTCTGAATACCCGGACCCCAACATGTCTCACTGGCCAAAAAACTGTCTCACACCCTGAGAAGGACCAAACAATGACAAATACACATAAAAAGACGTTTGGTGCATCACTGCCGTCTCCTTTTACAGAGTTTTTGTCCCTTAAGTTGATATTTAGTAAGTTTTCTTCTGTTAGATCTGCAGCTTTGCTCACTAGTCACACACTTACCTCCGACTAGAACAAGAAGCTTGCACCTGCCAGGTGAAACTCCACAGGACACGTGAATCCTGTGAAGGTGGACACACACGTTTACTTTTCTCCGTGAAACAACAATATGGAAAAAGCTAAATGTTGAAGAACTGGTAAAACAAAGTCACTATTCCAGTAGCAGTTTCCTGATTGTGAAACGACGGCTCTCCATCCATCCAACGGTCTCCTGGCAGCAGAGGACATGGAAAGACAAATGACACGACTGAGACAATCAGCCTGTTTAGCATTCCCTCTCTTGCTCTCGTTTCTACAAACACGTTGTTCTCTGTCCGCCCGATGTTTCTAATGGGAGCTCTAATCTCTTTAGATTATTGTTTCTAATGGGAGCTCTAATCTCTTTAGATTATTTTTGCCCAGTCTGACTCAGACCGCTTCCTGAAACACCTCTGGAGACAGAATCAGATTCTGCTTCTCTTCTTAGTTCACAGGTCAGACCAAGAGAATTTATGTTTACAATAAAATCTGTTAAACCTGAACGAGTAAAACCTTTGTGATTTAATGAGCGCTGAACTTTAAATGCATTCCTATTAGAACACTCAGTTTGATTCATTTAGCACTTTTAAAACAAATGAAACTGGTTAAAATGAGCGAAATATTTAATTACTTATAATAAAAAGCTTCAATTTGGAAGTATGGAGATGTTTTTAACATGGCAGGAAGGTCTAAACGGTCTTTAATGATGAGTTTGGATATTTGGCAGCAGATAAAGAAAATAATTAATCTTCTTTAGTTTTAAGCCACTTATTAAGCACGTCCAGGAAATCTTAGGTGACTTTTTGCTGCAGCACAGCTTAGGGAGTTCATCCAAATAAGGGGAAATAATTAGAAATAAAAATTTAAAAGCTAAAGTGTGATATTCGAACATGATTTTTACCCACATACAGAAAAATAATGACTATTTGTAAACAACCAAAGCCTAAATAATCTCCAAATCCTACTCCCACATCTTAGAATGCTCAACTCAAACCTCCACGCCTCAGTGAAGCGTTTTAGGGAACAGATAAAATCAGACCTGTGTTTACTGAAACTCTGTGTCCTGTTTTATCATTCGTGGATTCATTTTATTGCTCTGATTTTTATTTGAACCATCTGAAAAGAGTTTTGTGAAATCTTATCTGCTTTACAAATAAAGTCAGTGAATGCTAATTTTCAGTGTGATGCAGATCTGTCACGCTTTTCTAATCCGAGCATTTCTCCATTTATTTTCACTAAATAGGGGTGTAGACTATTTTCTCATTTTGTCTGCATGTGAAACTCAGATAGAACGATCTTGTTTGAAAAAATTACAGGTAAAAATCTGTTTCTTAGTGAACTTGGTCTTTGAAAATTAACAAATTAATAATTTAAGCTAGGCGGTCATCATTCAGGCAAATCTCATTTGGATTTAAAATGAATCCCATAAAGCTCCTGGATTAGGGTGGATCACATTTAAACCAGCACTGCCTCCAAATCCCAACTGCAACGTTTTTGTTTGCCCAAAAAAAGAGTTACACACATTTCAAGTAAAAAAGGCAGTTCATGATGAGTATTTATGTATAAACAGATGCAAACACACTCGAGGTGAAGACCAAGAACACACATTGATGGCTGGAAGAGAAGCTTTATACCAGTATATTCAAAACCCAGGAAGCTTCTCTGCTTATTTACAAAAACAAAATACAAGAATAAAAAAGAGAAAATGATCAACACATCACAAGCAAAGTGCTGCAAAATAAAAATAAAACAAACAATTCTATTTACTTCAAAAAAGTATTTTCTCCCACTTATGGCTTCAGTCTAACACAAATAAATGTTTCTGATCAGCTGTGAGGGTGTTTTCAGTCCATCCCTCCCATTTACAGCAATTTGCTTCTGTTGTTTATTCAAATAATAATAATAATAATAATAATAATAATAATAATAACATCAAATACACATACAAAGACAGAGGAGCTACATTTGTGAGCTGTACACGCTGAAGGGGGGAGGTTGTATGTTTACAGGAATACTGACCATTGTACATGATGACAGTTATGTTTGGAAAACTATTTTAAACAGATTAAAAACAAGTTTTCTGTAACAACCAACTTTTTACATCCCACTAAAATCACAGTTTAGCCGGATGAGAGTGAGCGGCCAGTGCTTTAGAAGCTAGTAAACGTCCATCTTCATCCTGAGGGCCTACGATGACCGAAACCAACAAATTCTGTTTCTATACTGGTTTTATCTGAACAAAAACTAGATTAACTCTGTTTTTTGACCCTTTGCTAAATGTTCTAGAGTGGGGTCACCACAAAAACAGTCCGAGAAGACCTGAAAACTTTGAATCTAATGGAATTTTTCCTCTTGCTGTTTCTGAATAATCAAACTTTGAGTCTGTTGGCCATTCAGATGTGTGCAAACCTTCACCAGCACGAACTTTTCTGCTTTTCTCACTTTAATAACCAAATGAAATCAGATAAAATGACTTAAAGGGAGATTTTACAATAACAACTATATGGTCTGAATGTAATTCACCTCTCTGGGTAACAAAGAACAATACATGTTTGCCAAAATTGAGAAAAAGATGAGAAAGAATAGAATCTATTCCCAAGACATCATAAATTAAAAAACTAACAAGAAGGAACCCTCCAAGAGCTGTACAACACAAATGGAGCGGCTCATGACTTCGCTGTCATCAAAACTGTTTTTGTTTGAAAACAAACAACTAAAGGTGTTGACCAGTTAGGTGAATAAATTAATGCTGTCATTTTGTACTTTGGGGAATATTTTGTGATACGATGCAAAAGGCAGAAACATCTGTCGGATGTCTCTCACACACTGAATGCAAATGTACAACCAGGACTTCCACCCTGGCTTGTTTCAGTCTGTTTCCTTTGTACAGTCTGGTGGTTGTGGAGGAAGAACTGATGGATGTTGCAGAGTCACCACTCAGAAGGAACAGGAGACAAAGAGACACGGGCAGAAACCATGAATGGTGGAGGAGGGGTGGATGGCGCCCTCAGCGACCGTGGTGGAGGAAGAGTCACTGGCTTGGATGACATCACATCATGTCTCTCTGCTTCGTCACAACTTCTCCAGGAGCAGATTGCTGAGCGACTGACCGAAAGCTGCCTCCAGGATCTTCACACGCTCATCGTCATGTTTGGAGAGTACTGCAGAAACAGGTTAGGAGCAAGGGTTTGAAGGGGACATTTTTCTTAACAGCCTGGTCAATAAAAACATGTTTATGAAGCTCTTTGCACTAAATCCCTCTCAAATAAAGCTATTTCAGCCGTTTTATTTTTTAGTACCTTCCCGAGTGAGCCGTTTTGGGGCTGAATCACTTTAAATGCACACTTTTCAGTTTTATTTGCTTTTAGCATCCCCTAGTATTCGTTATTAATTCACTGTGATTTAATTGAAAATGAAATGTCAGCTCCACTCCACAGCTCCCAAAATGCTTTCCATTATTAACACGCTGCAAGCTACAGCCGCCCTGGGGCGGTATGGTATTCTGGCCACAGAGGGCAGTGGGGCCTAAGTGACATTTCAGTAAAGGGTAATTTTGGCGCATACTGACGCAAGAAAATGATTAACAAAGATGAAAAAATTGCACAGTGTCCCTTAAAGACAACAAGCTGGAGCTGGCCACGCCCACCCATCTCCAGCTCATGCTGCTATTAGCCGAGAAGCTCCAATATGTGGAGGGGGCTCAGGATAGAGCTGCTACATCTCCAGCAACAGCTCTCTCTCTTGCACGAGAGAGGTGGTTCTATTCAATTTTCTACTTGTGACATCACAAACAGCAACTTTTTTGAAATGGCTTGTTTTAGAAAAGGGATAGAAAGTTTGTCTTTTCAGGTTTGGAGGCAGTAAAGACCCACGTGGCAGCACAGGTCAATTAGCAGGTTTAAAAAATATTTAGAATGAACTGCTGTTAAAAAACTGGATCTTATTAGCAAATCACTTGTGGTTAACCTAGCCGTTAGCTCATCAGTCCGAGTCTAAGCATAAACTCTCCCAACAGATGACATTCACGAAGCTCTTATGGGTAAAACGTATTTTTTTTTAGTTAAAAATAGCTTTCTAGTTAATGATCATAAACAAACTAGTTAATGATCAGATAAACAGAAATCAGACTTTTTGGATACTTAACTGCATCTCAATGAATATTTTAAAATTAAAACTGACCATAATTTACCTAAACGTTAAATACGATTATTGTTATAAATGGCAAATTTTGATTTTGTATTTCTAATCATCATAACACCCTGCAACACATTCATTAAATCCCATTTTTCAGAGACTATTATTCATCTGTCACGTACACTTTATTTCCCCTCCGCTGTCAAATCAGCTCAGAAAGCTTAACTTTGGGGTGGACGTATAATAGATATCAGAAATACTGGGGGTTTATTCCAAAAATAGAACAACGCCCTCCTATCAAACAAAAAAGAGCTAAAATAATCTGAACAAACATGCTGAGAAGTCCAACGTTCAGCTGTCTGAACGGGATGACTGAGTTCATGGACGTGTTAAAAGCTGCAGGAGAAACGGTTGCATAATGGGTCTGAGAGGGGACAGTTGTGCAACAACAAAACAGAGGAACATATTGTTTTGAACATCACAGCAGGGACAACCGCTGACACCAATTCACTCGTCGCTTTCAGAAAATTTACAAAGTATTTTTGTTTGAAACGTCTCATTTATGATGCAAATGTGGGCATAAAGGCTTAACATCTGCTTCTTTGATGTGTGTAAGTGCTAAACGCTTGCAGGTGAAAACAGATTAAAACAGTAATTACAAACATTTGGTAAAAAAAAAACCCCACAGATTTTATTAATGTTTTGTAGTTTAATGCAAAAAAAAAAAAAGGAACTTGAAGGATTTGAGCTTTTTAAATTACACATTTAAGATTTTGCTTTAGCATGTCTATGACAAACATTTTATGCACAATTTGTAGTGTTTGTCTTTAATCAATTTCAATTTTGTGAAAATGACAACAGATTTGATACGTTTCTGTTTTACTTTGGTTAAAGAGCCACAACAGAGGGACCAGAGCTGCAGTTGCAAACGTGTCAGGAGTAAAACATCCGTTGTTATAGCTGCAGTCAACAGCTGCTGAAATCTGTAAAAACACATAAAACCAGAGAAGTCCGGCTCCTCTAATGCTCCCAGATGTATGTGTTGAGCTTTGTACTTTAATGTGATTTCTGTAGATTGCTGCTGAGTCAGAGGGTAGCAGCAGGTAACGCCAAGCTTCACCTCTGAGTTGTGGAAGACGTGAAACTCACACTTTCATTTTGAAAAGGGTTAAGGAAGTTTCCTCCCATCTCTCCGTCCTCTCTGGGTGTCCCGGGTTGGTTGCTCATACTTAGGTTACCAGGTGAGTTCTGCTAAAAGGTGAGCAGAACAGCACTTTCAAAAGCTACAACTAATATCTGAAGTGCATCACAGGTAAATAAAAATAATCTTACCTTGGAAATACTGTCCATGTCACTTGACCCTAAAAAACACCAAACATTATTTTAAAAAAATGCTTGAATTTCAATCAGGGAGAAAAATTTTGCAGAAATGTTTTTATTTATTTTTTTACCTAAAGACCCATTCATGTGGTGCGGCTCCATTCCAGCCATCCCCCCTAATGGACCGTCGCTACCTGCACCCATAGGGAACTGAGGAGGACGTACACAGGAGACCATGAAGGACAGGAGAGACAACATCCAGCAGCCTACTAGAAATGTTTCTTACATGGAGAGAAAAGTATCTCACATTTGGTCGGCTTCCACCTGGAGGGACTGTGCTTATCATGGTGTACATGTTGTCTCCGGAGTTGGTCGAGTCTGACAGAATAAAGACAGGAACATTAAGAAGACAGGGTTTATTTAAATGTCCTCTGTAGAAAGATGACGATGCACAGAGCTCACCTGCAGGACTTGGCATTATTGGAGTTCCAGGTGCCCCCCCTCCTCCTGGAGGCCCCTGAAATTAGATGTTGGTTTCCTGCATAAATGAATGAATTACAGCCTTTTCAGAGACTAAAAGCGTGGTTTCAACTCAAATGTACGTACCACGTAGCTTCCTGGAGATGCTGAAGAGTACGGGGTCTACAAGTACGGCAAAGAAAAAAACAACATAAAATTACCATAAAGGAAAAAAAAAAAGGCAACTGATTCTTGTCAGATCTTTTTGTTTGAGCACTTACAGAGTTGGAGTTTGGAGGATTTGGCCAGGGTCTACCGCCGCCGGGCCCCCTGGAACACACACACACACACACACACACACACACACACACACACACACACACACACACACACACACACACACACACACACACACACACACACACACACACACACACAGACACACACACACACACACACACACACACACGCACGCACACACACACACACACACACACACACACACACACACACACACACACACACACACACACACACACACACACACATTGTTCCTGATCAGAGTTGGCAACAACAAAACGCTCGGTTGCCAGGAAAAAGTGAAAAACAAGAAAGGTGGAGCAAACCCTGGAAAGTAAACTCCCTGTTACAGTAAATCAGCCGAGAAAAAAGGTGAAAACAAAAGATTTAGGATTTTTAACATTTGCTTTTGTCCTTTTGAAAGGAGAAATTGTGCTGAGTTCCTCAGAATTTTATCTAGAAGGAATAAAATAGAGTAACGTCTTATTTAATAAAGCTATTATTATTAATTTTATTATTGTTATTATTATTGTTATTATTATTATTATTATTATTATTATTATTATTATTATTATTATTATTATCTTATCATCATCATCATCATTATTGTTGTTGTTGCTGTTGTTATTATTATTATGTTTTTACAACACTCACATGCTCATACCAGGCATCCCAGGACCAACCAGGGCATTTAGCGGTGGCCTCATTCCTCCTCCATAGCTCTAAAGAAAGGACAAAACATTATGTCCAGAGGAGGTAAAGTATCAAAACACTTTAATGTATAATTCTGCCTCATACCTGGGGTCCTAGCGGCACCATGCCTCTAGGTGGCGTCATCCTCTGCATGGGACCTCCCATGTTTGGATGTCCTGAGAACCATAGAAAGCAGTAACTGCTAATGCAGGTGTGATATTTGTTAACTTTAATAGTAATCTTCCAATCAGAATGTTAATTGATCCATCCATCCATTTTCAGCCGCTTATCCGGGGTCAGGCCGCGGGGGCATTAGCCTAAGCAGGGAGGCCCAGGCTTCCCTTTCCCCAGCCACTTGGGTCAGCTCCTCTGGGAGAGGTGCTCCCAGCTGTGAGACATAGTCTCTCCAGTGTCCTGGGTCTTCCTTTAGGTCTTTGCCTGGTTGGACGTTCCCAGAAAACTTCACCAAGTAGGCGCCCAGGAGACATCCTGACCAGATGCCCGAGCCACCTCAACTGGCTTCTCTTGATGTGAGGAGCAGCAGGTCTACTCCGAGCCCCTCCCGGATGACTGAGCTTCTCACCCTATCACTAAGGGAGAGCCCAGCCACCCGCGGTGAAAACTCATTTAGGCCGAAAATGAGTCAATTTAATACATTCTTTATGTTTGACGAAAAGAAAAACTTTACTAAACTGTGTTTTTTTACTTATCTTCTGGTGTTAAATCACTGTTTTAAAATAATTTCCTAAAATCGGTTGATCGTAAAAACAGGTCTGCCAAAAGCGGACTCTCCAGAGATCAAAGGCTCATGTGCAGCCAAGGTGTCTGAGATGAAAAAAAAAATCTGCCAGTGTTGTTCCTTCTAAAGTTGTTTTATCAGCTTAACAAGAACAGCAGCAAGGATAGAAGAGTTGGCCGGAAACTGAAGACTTAATTCACAAAACATCAAGGTTAAGTCACATAAGCTGTTTCAGTACCTTGCTGTCTTGTTGGGTCCATTCCAGAGGGCAGCATGGGCTGGCTACCTGGAACTCCTCCAAGACCCTAAAAAGGGTAGACCACTTAAAATGTCTGCTTCTGTTCTGATCGGTTCTGGACGTGCAGATTTGAGAAGAACACTCACCTGGTTTGGTAGTCTGAGGGGCGGTCTGGGTCCTCCTGGGTACCGAGGTGACATGAATGGCTGAAAAACAGGCAAATACAAAGTTTGGATGGTTTTACATTTTAATAAACACATGCAAAATAACTTTTATGTCATAAACTGTTGTAGAAAATTACGTTTTCAGTTTGCACACCTACAAATCCTGGCAGCAACACCAAAGTAAACAAAAGCCACATTATTGACACAGGCTCAGAAAACAAAAGGCTGATGTATAATGATGCTGATGAGAGTGCATGCATTAACTGTTACCCATGTGTTGATGTTTTATTGCAGCTTCTGAATGAGTTTTTATTTGTTACAACGCTGCAGTACCACAAGGCTCCACTAGAGAGCAATAGAACTCTTCGTTTGATCAGGGTCAAAAACTAAAATGACCCAAAATCCAGTTTTTTGTGTGTGTAACTTTTAAATATAAGCGTTAAACCAGCAATGCTGATGATGAATGGATACTGCAAAAAGAAAAATACAGATCAGTTTTAGGAATAATTTGTCAATATTTTCCAAACTGGTCCAAATGCAGATCAACGAACTGGTAATTTAGCTAATTTCCTTTTTTTTAAGTGAAAAGTTGTATGCTGATCTGTTCGATTCATGTTTGACTTTTTGAAAGCCGAGCTGGGAAACGTCTCTGAAAGCCATCGATTCACACGTCACATGCTGTCAGCCGAATTAGACTGAAAATGACGTTTAATCAATGAGTTCTTCAAAGACGATGTCAGGCCTCTTCATTAGTTCACTAACCATGATGTGACGGGAGGAAAAAACTACAGGAAGTATTTTTATGTAATGATATTAAAAATGGAAACGTGTCTGAATCTTTAACCTGAAAGAATCCTGGAGGAACAGGCCCCACTGGCATGCCCTCTCCTGGGGTGAGGCTCCCGAGAACGGGGCTTGGAGCTGCTGCAGCACTCTGGAAGAAGGACACACACACACACATGCAAGAGTTAAACACACACATTTGACTCAACTCAGGGAACTCAACACCCTCAGCATCGATTTGTGGATTTTACAAAAGCTTAAGAACTTTGATGCAAATGACATAGAGGAAATAAAAAAACAAAGCACTATTCTCCATCCAGCGATCAGCGGTTATCATCATTTACATACATCTGCCTCTATAACTGGTTTCTTGTGATTGTACAGTTAACTTGCAGTAGGATCTTGCGACTGAATCTGTCACAAACACTAATAAATGTGAGAAATATTCGCCTTTTCCTGGTACTACTACCTCAGTGGGATATTTCCTGTTTCTGCAGATGCCTAACCGTGCTGGTCTGCATTTATTTTTGGACATTGTGTTATTTTGCAGTGTTTATCCCAGACGGGTGGTGCTGGATCATTTCAGCAAGGCCTCCGTCTGCTTCCTGTGGTATTGTGCGTTACCACTCAGCGACGGCCTCTCCCTCATCCGACTCACAAACACAAAGCAGCAATGGGAAGAGTTTACATCTAAATATAAGATAAAGTCTGACTGAGCACCTGCAACCAGTGTTTATTTAGTTTTTGTTTATTTTTCTGTGTGTTTCTGATCTTCTTTCTCCCTGTGATGACACTGGCTGGGTATAAAGAGCTCTGGTGAAATTCGCCCACAGCCTCTGAAGTTTCCGCCAGCTGACTTTTTAGGTCAGACAGGAACATGGTTTAATCAGAGCTGAGATAAAAGCAGACTGATGACACTCCTGTCTCCTCCGCTGCTCCACCCCGCCACCCTCGCTACTCCCCCAGCCGCCTCCAGCCTCCTTCACATCTCCCCATCGTTAACAACAGAGAACAAGATCTGCCGCAGCCTTCAGAGTCAGAAGCAAACAGAAACAACATGTTTGTCTCAACAGATGGAAGCAGATGGATATTGTGTCTCTATGGTTCAGACCGGATTCGGTTTTATTTGTGAGTGTCTGTATTTTGGAGCGTTAAACATCATGCAAAGCATCAAGTCTGGAGTGATTTGGTGCTCTCTCCCTCCCTCCTCCCTTTTCTTTCCTGCTCCTCCCTCGCACTGTGTGGATTACCCAGAATGCCTCTGCTCCCCAGCAGCCTGGAGGTCTGCTGAGTTTGCCTTCACGCACACAGAGAAAGAGAGGGAGGGAAAGAAGAGAAAGGAGGACAAAGCAGAGATTATGAGTGCCTGTGTGCATGAGGAAGTGAGTGTGTGTAAAGAAACTGAAGGAGGGGGAGTAGAAAAAAAAATACGCACCCTGACCTGCTGACAAAGCAGCATTTTCTAAATACAGCAACAGAATAAAATATAAATAAATAAATACAATAAAACACGCATGGAGATCTACTGGCCCCCAAAACCAAATATGCAAGCTGCTATCCTTTCAATGTAAGATATACAGTAAGAACGTACAATATGCTTGTTTATTACCTTAATTGTTAAAGGTGCATTATGGAGAGATTAAGTAAAAGTGACATCTTGTGGTAAAATGTGGTTACTGCAACCACTTTAAACAACTCTGGAGCTTTTTGCCGGCCGTCGTCAAATTACAATCGTCGGCGCTGCAGCATTACAGCATTAGCTCACAGGAGGCACGGCATCCCCACACTCACTGATGGTAAACAATAGCTAGGTCCTGCCTTATTTGTTTTGAAAGGAGAAAAACTGACAATCCCTGCAGCCAGCTGGATATGAAATATGTTTTCATTATAAACTTCCTTCCGTTATGACTTTTGGGATTTTCTCACTGTAAAATTCTCATTATGTTCTTACGTACTGCACCTTTAATATTTGAGAGAAGAAAATGAAGTATTTTATAAAATAAAATGGACTTTCAGTTTTTTACTTAATTTATTTTATTTTTTTACTGCAAAGCAACAGAATTTCTGTGGATGTTTAATCTGCAGTACAATAATAGTAAAAGCAACACAGTTAACAGAAAAGTGTTGATCACTTCATCAGTGTGAAACTGATTATCGTTCAAACATTAAAGGACACATATCACAACCTTTTTTTTAGATTAAAATAGTTCTACGGTCTATTGCACTAAATGTAAATCTGTGAGGGGCTCAGATTAGAGCTGCTGCTGGAGGAGCACGTGACAGGTGTTTATTTCTTATTCCCCTGTTTGTGATGTCACAAACAGGGACTTTTTGAAACAGCTTGTTTTAGCACATCCTAAAACCAAACTGATAGATTGGCTTTATTTTTGTTTACAGAGGAGAGACCCACATGACAAAAAAGAAAAAAGAAAAAGCAAAAGCTGATTTTTGCACAATGTCCCCTTTAACCCTCAGAGTGATTAGTTAAGTACTCTTCATTTGCACGTTTTCTCTGTTTCCAGCCAAATAGCAAATTCCAGCGTTGAACTTCTATCGACCCATAGAAGTTAATAAATCTATCACTTTTCTCCCACATCAACGTTTGCACATTTTCTTACACTTGAGAAGCAACTAGCATAATGGAGGAATATGCAAGTTATCACTGTGTGCTCTTTGCGCTTTGTTGCAGGATAGCGGGTCTATAGAAAGTCTCTGACTGAGCTTAAACACAATTAGATGCTGCTGATTCGATGGAGTTCACTGCAGATCCAATTTGTGAAGGAGTTGTAATGTCCATTATAAACCCTGACTGTTCACAGATTCAATTCAAAACTGTTAAATTAAAACTAACTTCTTTTTAATGAAGCATTTTAAGGATTACACAGAGCCCAGAATCCCTTTTCTTAGTTGCCTGATCAGACCCAATTAAGGGGTATGGAGCAATCAGACTGAGTTTGCTAAGCTCTAAACTTTCCTTTAGAATCAGATTTTCTATCTAAGAAACATTAAACGTGAAACAGAGGAGCGTCACTCACAGAAACTCAGGTAAACACCTAGAATCTGTTGTTTCATTAATAATTCAAAAACAGCACTGGAGGAGAGCGCTAGAGGCTCTCAGACATATTCAACAAGACAGTAAAGTATACAACAACCTCATGTGGAAATCTGCTCAATAGAGTGTCAACAACACAGAAAAGAGGTTTAAAAAAAACTGGTGAAGACGGCTGTCTTCTTTCTGAATGCGATTCACAGATGAGATAGCGACGACATTTACAGCATGAGTCAAAATGAGTCGAAACGTTAACAATATCAGAAAGATCCCTTAAAAAACAACCAAAGGTCTTCAACGCATTCACACCACATCTCACCACTTTACGAGTTTGTTAGTTTCTCTTCATTCACACAACACTAGTCCCATTACATTACAGGGCTCAGTGATACCTAATGAGATAATTTACAGATTATTTCATCCCATTTGTTTATAGATTCTGCAATCCCCTATTAATGTGAGGAACTCCTAATATAGTTTGTTTGTGTGAAATTGGGGAGTCATTTTCATTCAATACTGCAGAGGCTGAGAGAGTGTTGCGTGGGTGGAATCTCAAAAAAACATCTTTGTCTATCTCCTCTAGCTGTCTCAACCTGCGACCGCCGCCGTCTGCCTCCTCCTCCTCCTCCTCCTCCTCCTCCTCCTCCTCCTCTTCCTCCATCTCTCTCCGATGCACAATCTTGCTCTCTCTTCCACATACATTATTTTATAAATTTGACAATAATTTTCTATCATAAAGCATAAAAACAAACAAAAACAAGATAATTTTGTACATGTTTCTTTTCTTAAAGGGCACTTATTATTTTTTAGTCTTAAATATAATAATTCTGAGGTCAAAAATATTTTCATGAAGTTCTTTGCATTAAATCCCTCTCACATAAACCAATTTCAGTACCTTCCAGAATGAGCTGTTTAAGGCTCTGTCACTTTAAAAAAACACGCTTTCACCCCTCTCCTGCTCAGGCTACTATAAGCTGAGAAGCTCCAATATCTCGGAGGAGTTTGGAGTCGAGCTGCTGTCTTTTGCACGTGAGAGGTGGTTATTTTCTTATTTTCTAGTTTGTGACATCACAATAAGTGACACTCAGGAACAGCTTGTTTTAGGTACATATTGCTAAAAAGAAACACTGGCAGAAAACAGAAGGATATTTGAAGTGTTTATAGAGGCAGTAGCAACCCCCATGGCAGCACAAAATAATGTAAAAGGTGAGTTTAGCGTAGCATGTCCTCTTTAAAAACTGTCTTCTTTATTCCTGAGGGACATTAAAAGGAGTTACAATATTGTCCCTGGTGTCATATAATAAGAGCGTTGGTGTTGTTGACATGCCTAAAAACAGTTGAGATGCAAAACTTTGTAAATGTTGTTATTCAGTAATAATTTGGAACTAAATGGGTAAAATGGTAGCAGCTCGAATCTTCAAGAGTGGTTTGGTTAGTCACAAATAAAGAGGGGGTTCAACACAAATGAAAGATATCTGCTAAGAATTGGTAGCCACTTTACTGCATTTATGCAAAAAAATAAATAAATCATGAAAAGAGATGAGACGTGCATCCAAAACCCAGGTCAATAATCATAACTCATCATTTAAAAAAAACTATTCAGTGACAAATCTCAAAATAATCAATGTAATAATTAACTTGGAAATAAATCTGATTCTGATCAGCCCACAGCAGAAAAAACAGCAATGATGATGTTACATTTATGATCGATACTCGTCAGTAAGGCCACCCAAAACCAAAATCTGAATGCATCACCATGACTGAAACAGCAGCAGCACCAACACCTGCTTTTATTCAAAACTTACAATAAAGGCCGTAGAGAGAGGCCCGAATGTTTATTAGAGTAATATCTAAAGCCTCTGCAACAAGCCTACAGATGTACAAATAATATAATGTGTAGCACAACATGGGGTGCAGATGTTACAAAATTATAGCCGATGTAAACTTAAACCAGTTTCTGCAGTTTTCTGAGTTCAATGTTTAGTGAAGTCGTGATTTAATAAAGTTTTATGTGTTTACTGGTTTATTTGGTGAGAACTGATGTAAAATGCAGACGAGTTTCAGTTCTGGGAGTCCAACTAGGAAATATTTGTACACCAGCA